GGGTCTCCTCCCAGGCACCTGACCCCCCTTCAGGAAAGGGGAAGTCCATGGTGGATACAGCTCTGCCTGTCTGTCACTTGCTTTCTGCAGGGGGGCAGAGAAGTGAGTGACTTCATCAGCTACCTGAAGCGGGAGGCAACCAACACTCCTGTGCTGCAGGAGGAAGAGAAATCCAAGAAATCCAAGAAGAAGGTGAAGGAGGATTTGTAAAGTACCTGCTTGCCACCTTGTCAGGAGGAGCTCTATATGAATCGGGGAAACACTGGTCAGATAGGGGCCAGTTCTGGGCTGTGGAGAGCCAGTGGCCATGCGGGCAGAGGAGCCCCAGCTGCTGTATCTAGTAATGTTTAATTTCCTGCCGTCTCTTAGCTGCACTGTTGTGGGGCTCCCCAGGTTTGTTTTGTGGTTTCAGAGGGGTGGGGGTACAGTTATTTTCTAATTTTTTTTGTACATTTGGAGAAGTGAAACAATAAAATGACCCCCTTAAGACCAAATGTCCCTGTCCTGGGGCAACCCATCAGACCTAGCAATGGGTTCCTGTTCTCCATAGGCAGCAGCTTCCTGCTGCAAGTTATTCCCTACAGTGAGCCCTCCTAGCCCCTGCTTTCAGCCCATTATCCTCTTTCTTTAGCTGCCCAAGCCCCTCCAGAATGTAGCAGCAACAGCTATCCCAATGTGTTGGGCTTTGGGTGCTGTATTTACACACATTTTGGACTGGGGAATTGTGGTCACAAATGCCTTTGCTGTGTGCTGCCCTAGCGAGTTCAGAGGTACATGGTGCTCACTGTGACTGTTGGATTGCAGCAGTGCAGGCATATGGAGCAAACTGGCAAGGGCCTTGCTCATCAGCAGCAGAAAATCAGCTTTGAAGCTGGTGCACGAATAGTTTGGTATAAGAGGAGTGTTACTATCTACAGCCTCTACCCAAACACAGGTAGGCCAGGGCCAAGGGTGTTTGTTACAGTCAAGTGCTTGGCTGTGGTGAGAGCGAATACAACCAGTTAACTATTCCTTCTCACGCTGAGAAACAGGCTGGTAGCTGTGGGTCTCTCTTCAGGAGGATAGGAGTAGACCATGTGGTGTGGGCTGTGACTGACCATCTGAGGGTGTTCCGCTTTCCTTTGGGGAAGGGCGGGAAAGAGATGGGCGGACCAGGTAGGAGCTGTTGTCCTGATTCTGTGTTCCTTTACTAAATGCAAGTTGAAGTGAGGGTCAGCACACTCAAAGTATTGCTTCATGGCAGCAGGTAATATGGCAAGAACCAGAGCTTGCTTTCTCTGTGGCTTCCTCCCCCACAGCTCAAAGCCCAGGTGGTGCTGGAGTTTTCCAAATACAGTAGCTCATGCAAGGCTTAGGCTGTACTTCTTTGACTACAGTAACTGCAGTACAATTTCTTTTGCAGCTCCATTAGCATCTCAAACCACATTTCCCTTTTGTGCTCTGCTGCTGTGGTAGCTGCTCTGCCCCTAATGCATGCGGGTGTCTAGGCACCTTTGGAGGAGCATGTGATGTCCAGTGGTCCCTGCACAGACTGGCAGGAGCCCTGCACCTGTCTGTCTGGAGCACTCTTGCAAGGAAAAGGAACACAGCAAGCTCCCCTGACAGCTGGCAATTACCCATGTTACACCAGACTGGAATACTGCTTCCTTGCTGGGCAGGACAGTGCTCTCCATCAAGCCAAGGAGAGCTAGGGACGTGGTTCTAATCCTGGCTTTGCTCCCTGCTCTGTGACTGTTGACCTGGTGGCAGCTGGGGCACTGAACACAGGTAAAACTCTTCAGCATGTTTGGCCCAGGGCATCACTGCTGGTGCTCAGAGCAGCCTGGGTGAAGTTGGCACAGGCCTAGGGAAACTTTCTGGCAGAAGGGACAGAGGATGAGGAAGGGTTGTGTTGGTGGCTGCCTAGATAACCCTCACTATGCTACAACTGCATTGAAGGAATAAGGTTCAATTGAGGAGAAACAGGCATCTGATGAAGGATTTGTATATTTGATGCCTGGAACACTTGGCAAACAGGGTGGCTACAGACCTTGCTTGCAGTGAGACCTGCATGGAGAGCTGGCCCTGGGTAAGGGGGAAGCCACCACCTAAAGTAACACATTCCCCGAGTTGGCTCAGGCTTTAGCAAAAGATCGGGTCTTTGTTTCTGGTTCTCCCCATGCAGCCATGGCCCTCCACGGAGCTGGGAATGAGCTAGCCCCAGGTGTTTCAGAGCTGGAGCAGTTGGCGCTCCTTCAAAGACAGGTCTGGATGAGCAAGGAAAAAACTGCAGCAACAGTTTGCTTGGGAGGACTCGCTTCTTGCAGAATTAGGCTTTTGCTATGAGACAGCTTTGGATGGAGGCATTCAAAGTGATTCTTACGCTGGTAGCTGGGATAAGCCAGAGACTCGGCCCACAGCCTCGGTACCGGAGACGCCGGGCCGCGGCATTGCCTGGAACGCGCGACGGCGGCGGGCGGGCGGTCCCGAGGGGCAGCAGCGGGCGGGGCGGGCGGCGGGAGCCCCGTGGCGGGGCTCGCCCTGGCCCAGCTATTTTTGCCGCCGACCCGGACTAATCCCCTGAGCCGCTTCCCGGCATTAGGTAACGGCGCGGCGGCATGCGCTCCGCGGTGTCCCCGGCCCGGGCAACCCCCGGCAGTCGCGGCGCGGCGGGACGGGCGGCGACACGCCCGGTGCGGGCTGGGGGCCGTGGGCACCCGCCGCCGAACCCCGCGTGGGCCCGGACCGAGGCCAGCAGGTAGCGGCGGGTGGCGAGGGGGGCCGGGGGCGGACATGCCGGGCCCGTCGCCCGGCGGCTCTCCGGAGAGGGAAACGGGGGCCGGCGAGCGGCCGCGGAGGCCTGGCCGGGACCGGCGGGTGCGGTTCCGGCTGCCTCACACCGCCATCGCGGTGCCGTCGGTGCGCGAGGAGGAGCAGCTCTTCTACCGGCGGCTGGAGGCGCTGGCAGTGCCGGGGCCCGGCGGCTTCGGGCCGCTCTTCGCTTCCGACAGTTGGAGCGACTTGACGGGTGAGTGCCGACGGGCCTCAGGGCCAGCCCAGGCCGGGACCGGACAGAGTGGAGCAAGGAATGCCAATTTCGGGACTCCCGGCTTGGCTCTTAGCGCCTCCTCCCTCGCAGAGGACCGGCTGCTGCGGAAACGCGTGGTGCGGGCCGGGCTGGGCGGGCCGCGGCCGCTGCCGGGCCAAGAGGTGTCCGTGAAGCTGCTGGGCGCCCTGGAGGACGGCGGGCTGGTGGAGCGGGACCCGCGGCTCATCTTCGTGCCGGGTCACGGGGACGTCGTGCAGGTGAGCCCGAACCGGTGCGCGGTTCAGTGCCGTGCGAGCTCAGCGCCGCCGTGGGCCCCGACCCGCCAGCCCCACCGTGCCCGTCCACAGGCTCTGGAGCTGGGCGTCCCCACCATGCAGCCCGGGGAGGTTTCCTTCTTCCTCGCCGCTTTCCCCTACGCCTATGGCCGCCCGGGCAGGTAAGGCGAGCGGGCAGGGGGCGGGAGGGCAGACGGACCGGGGCGGGCAGGCAAGAGGGACGGGCGAGGACAGGACCAGAGCCGGTGGCGCCGGCAGGGCAGGGGTCGCGGGCAGCCGGCGCTGTACCAGCAGGGAGCCCGACGTGCCGCCCGAGGCGCCGCTGCTGTTCGAGGTGACGCTGCTGGAGGTGCGGGACGGCCCCGACCCGCAGCCGCTGCTACCCGCCGTCCGTCTGCGCCTGGGCTCGCAGCGCAGGGAGCGGGGCAACTTCCACTTCGCGCGGGGTGACTTCGCCGCGGCGCTGCGATCGTACCGGCTGTCCCTGCGTGCCCTAGACGGCCCCGCCGCCGGTGAGACCGGACGGAAGGGGGAGGGCCCGGGGCTGTGGAGCTGGGGCGCTGAGGCCGCAACTCGCCCCGCAGCTCCGCCCGGGCCCGAGGAGGAAGAGGAGCTGCGGGAGCAGCGTGTGAAGTGCCTCAACAACTGCGCGGCTGCCGAGCTGAAGCTGGGGCGGACGGAAGAGGCGCTGGCGGCCTGCGAGGCGGCCCTGCGGATCAGCCCCGACAACGGTCGGGCGTTGGTCCGGCGCGGGCAGGTGGGACTCGCATCGTTCCGCATCGCCCCGCTCCCCTCGGCCCAGTCGTCCAGCTACCGTCCGCTCCTCTCCCCGCAGCTTCTGGCAGAGCAGGGGCGGGACGCAGAGGCGGCGCTCGTCCTGAGGAGAGCCCTGGAGCTGGACCCGGCCAGCAAGGTGTGGGAGGCGGGGTGCGAGGGCGGGCGGTGGTCCTACGGCACCTGGTACTTGAAGCGACGGGGAGGAAGAGGATCCCACAGCATTTGGTGGGTCGGGTGTCCCACCGCAGCCGCACCTCGTCCGTAGGTGATCCACACCGAGCTCTCACGGCTGGCGAAGCGCCAGAGCCCTCCATCCGGTACCGGCCCGCAGAATCCCCGCCACGACCCGATACCGCCGCCGAGCCCCGCGTGCGTAGGCGAATTGGGCTGTGCAGGGACGGATGCCCGTCCCGCACCCTCTTGGCGCGCATAGCGCTTATAGCCGTCCCTCCCTGTAGATCCCCCGCACCGCCCTCGGCGGAAGGAGAGATCTGAGCGGCCCCGCAGCGTCTCAGAGCCTGACCGAAGAGATAGAGGAGTTCTCATACCGTCCTCCCCACATCGCCCCGCACTCCCGCGGGCGGAGAAGAAATCTGCGTGGGGAGGGCTGAGGGAGGGGCGGGACGGCGCCGGCCCCGTCCCGCACCGCCCGCACCGCTCTCCCAGCCTGGCAGCGCTCCCGCACGCCTCGTGACGTCACGGCGGGGGGCGGTCCCCCCGCGCTCCGCATCCTGTCGCGCGGAGGCGGCTGCGGCGCGTGCGCCGAACCTTCCGGCTTTTTCGCCCCCGCCGGCAGCAGGGAGGCCATAGCCCGCGGCCAATCAGGCGGGGCCTTGCCGCAGAGACGCGCCAATGGGAGTGCAGCGGGGGGTGGATCGGCGCAATGATTGGCTGTGGCGTCCCTTAAAGCGCGGGGCGGGGCGGGGCGTGGGGGGGGTCAGTGCGGGACGTGGCGGTGGAGTGGAGGTGGGAGGGAGCGGCGCCATGACCCGTGAGTTGGGGGGAAGGAAGGAAAGGGGGCTGGGGCTGACAGGTGTCGTGGGAGGCTGTTCTGGGACCCGGGAGTGCGGCGGGGCCGGGGTCAGGGGCCACGCCGTGATGCGCCGGCGGGCGGTGGTCGGGCCGGGGTATGGGGGGTGGCCGGTACGCGGGGCCGGGCTGCGCTGAGGTGGCCGCGCTGTGGCAGGCGGGAACCAGCGCGAACTGGCGCGGCAGAAGAACCTGAAGAAGCAGAGCGACTCGGGCAAGGGCAAGCGGCGGGACGACGGGCTCTCGGCTGCCGCCCGCAAGCAGAGGTGAGCGCCGGGCCGGCCCGCCGGCTTCCCCTGCCCCGCTCCCTGCTCCCGCCCCGCGGTGGTGCCGGCCCCGCCGCCAGCCTCGCCGCGCTCCCCGCAGGGACTCGGAGATCATGCAGCAGAAGCAGAAGAAGGCCAACGAGAAGAAGGAGGGCAACAAGTAGCGGGCGGCCGCGCCGGGCTGCCGCCCCAGGGCCGGTCCCGCCGGCAGGATGCCCCGCGCCGCTCCAGGCCGGGTCCCGCCGGGACCTCCGGCATCGCCCCGCGCCCGGTGGCGCCGTCCCCTATTAAAGTAGCTGTGGAGCCCTGCACGCTGCGTCTGCTCGTCCGTGCGCCGGGCGGGGGGTGGGTGAGCACGGCTATTGGCGGAGCAATCGCGGCCGCGGGGAGTCAAGCGGCGGCATCTCGACGGCGAGGAACAAAGGTGGGGTCGGACCTGGGCGGCCCTTGGGGCAGCACCCGGGGATCAGCGGGGGCTGAGGGCCGAGCGCCCCGGGGCGGAGGGAGAGCGGGGAGCCTGGAGCAGCGGAGCTGGACGGTGTGGCGCCGCAGCGGGCCGGGGCGCAGCCGGGGCTCCGGGCCGGCCGGAGGGCGGCGGTGGAGAGATGGCGGCCGGGCCTGCGCACCGGGGGAGGGCCGCGCTGCGGCACGGCCGGGGCGGGCCTAGCCGCAGCTGCCCGGCCGGCGGCGGCGACATCCGGCCCAGTGCCGAGGCCGGTGCCCGTCGGCCTTTTCACCTCCCTGCAGGGCCCTAGCAGTGGCATCAGCCCGATCCGACAGCACAGCGGCGGCTCCCGCGGCAGCCTGGGCTCCTCACCGGGCCAGATGCGGCGCTGCCTTCTACCACGCTGGTGCCGTCCTTCGCGCTGGTCTCGCAGAACAGGCAGCCGTGGGCCTGGGAGTGTCAGTGGGGCCCTGAGGAGCTGCTGCTCACCATGGCCAGCTGCCTTTTCTCTGTGTGGACCCTCTCAGCCAGGCCAGGCCGCAGGTCCATCTTGTTCCCCACCAGCATCAATGGGTGTGACTGCTCGACTGCAGTACAGAAGGGTGGCATGGGGCTCTCTGGGGCTGGCAGCCTATGGCCACATTGGCTGCCTCACATCATACCTGTGCTGAACCTGGGACCCAAGTGCAGTTCCAGGCCTGATAGAAGCACCAAGAAAAGAGAAACGGTTATGGGAAGCACTCTCCTTTTTCCTGGGGGGGGCTCCTTGGGTGGCAGTAGCCCAACTCCTGCCTGCCTCATCCCTGTTTCCCAGGACAGGTTGGGGCACAGCACCTCCCAACCCCCTGAAAGCCTCAAGGCTCCTGCCCCTCTCTTGGGGCCTGAGTGCCTCTTGGACCCTTCCCACCTTGATGTCCTCAATCCACTGGCAGATGCTGAGGAAGTTGCTTAGGGAGCTGATGTTGTAGAGCAGCAGCATGCCATGGGCTTTGTGGAAGTAAGTGCTGGGGCTGTCACCACCACTGGTGCAGTCACTGGCTGCTGTGGGGCTGCTGCTGGAGCCCTGCCACAGCCCTAGGCCTGCTGGCCCTGTGCTCTCACCTCTCCTGCCCAGCTGTGTCCCAGGTCTGTAATGTGGTTTACTTCCCATCCACCAGCAGCAGCTTGATCTGGAAGTCCACCTCTGCTAGGAAGAGCACTCAAGTCCTCCTGTGCATCTGCCCTGGCTGGGGTATCTGGGGAGCCCCAAGGACATGGTGTTGCAGCAGTTGCCAGTGAAGGGCCCATAGGGCCATGCCAGTGGCTGTGGCAGGCTGCCCAGTGATCTGTGCTTGCAGCAGGCATGAGCAAGGCATTGCTGCCCAGAGGATAGCCTGCACTGCCTGCAGCACAGGGGTCTGGCAGAACCCCCCATCTGGGCCAGGCTCTGTGGGGACTTGCAGCAGTGCTGCTGACTAGAGGTGTTCCACACGGCTGGCACTCCCTCCCTCCATCTCCATGGCAGCAGCCTGCGCAGGGCAATGGCACAGGCTCAGTTCAGAGTTTTGTATAAAAATGTATTGAAGCAGGTATTTACAGTGAATGCACCACGGCAGTGGCAGCCAGGGCAGAGCCCTGCTCCCCCAGTGCACCCAGTGAGGCCAGGGCAGCCAGGCTGTGGGCTGAGCACCTGCCACCAGCTGGCTCTGGCCTTTTGGGTATCCGTGGGAGCATCCACCCACCATGTTCCCCTCAGGCTCTCAGATACTGCTGTCTCCTGGGACAGGGGGTCAGGGGAGGCCAGGACAAAGCAGGGCTAGGGCACAGGCACGGGGCACAGCAGGGACCAGCCCTGAGCGCAGCTTGTCCTGGCAAGGACTATGTGGAGACGTTGATGCGCTGTGGAGTGCGTCGGCGCCGCACCATGCGTGGCCCTGTACTGCTGTGTCGGTGCTGTGGGGAGCCATGGAGGCAGAAGGGGCTCAGCAGCAGCCACAGGTAGAGCAGGACACAAGCCCAGCACGAGGACACCTTCACCCAGAAGGCTGACCAGCTGCCATGTGTGAAGGTGGTCTCCAGCACTGCATTCTCATAGCTGGTGGGAGAGGGCAGGACTGGGTACCCAAAGTATGCCAACACAGGGGGTTTCAGTGGCTAGTGGCCATGTGCCCCTGGGTATGTCCCTTCCATGGGCCCTCCAGCTCTTTTTGCTGTGCTGCACAGCTGCCATTGGAGCAGTGCAGGTCTGTGGGCACAGAGCCCTGAGCATCCCCAGCAGATGCCAGCCCGGTGGTATCATCACGGTCCAGCACAGAGGTTTTGAGTGAGAGCAGGGAGCGGTGGGCAGCAGCACAGAGCCCTACCTGAACCAGTTAGTGAGTGTCATCATAACATAGAGCGAAGCAAGGAAGAAGACAAAGTGGAAAGCTGAGTAGCTGTAGACCACCCGGTCCTGCTCATCCTGGATGATGAACTGTCCCCTGGCACTCTCCTCTACTTGCTCACACGTCTGGTCAGTGCCTGGGGGAGTGTGGGGGCATGGCACTCCCAGGCTGGGACACAGGCTCTGCCCACTGTCCCATCCCTGCACACAGACACTGCACTCACCTCTCAGCTCCTCCTCCATCTTCTCAGGGCAGCAGAAACAACAGGAAGGTTTCTGCAGGGAGAGCAGAGTGGTGACTGCCCAGCCCTGTGGCCACCATGGCCAGGCTGAGCCCTGCCAGATGCCAGGGCAGGTGGTGTGGGCAGCCGTCTGTGCTTGGCTAGACAGACCTGTGCCTCTCTGGGGCTGGGATAGGGCCTTGAGGTGGTGGGTGCCCATAGCAGGAGGACATGGAGCACAGCTGCATCCATACTCACTTTAAACTCAAAGCTGTAGACTTTGACCATCCAGAGGGGCCCAAAGACCTCAGCGAGGTATGAGGCTTCATTGCTGTGCCCAGGAGAGGCAGAAATGATTACACAGGCATCCATCACCGTGTGCTAGGCTGCCAGCCTGCCCCATGGATTCCCAACAGCCACAGGAGCTCTGCTGTGCTGCCCCTGTCCACCCACCAATGCCCCACCTGTCCTGTCCTGCCACCCCTCAGGACACCTCTGGCTGCCAAGCTGTGCCTGGGCAGGGTACACGCACCATGCAAAGAGCACGCAGGCATACATGATAGCAGCGCCCAGCACAGCCACGGTGGTGTCCTCTGTCTGCAGCTCATCCTGCCGGACGCCCGGGAAGCAGACAGTGAGGTTCTGCCCCTGGTACAGCACTGCGGGGAGGTGGAGGTGAGAAGGGCATGCATTGTGGCGGGGGCTGCTGGTGGTGGACAGGGACACCCACCTTTCTCTGGAGGGCGGCTGGACAGCGCAGAGAAGGTGAGGTACATCACGTAGCAGCTGATTATTGAGGACTGCAGCAGCCCTGACCGCGGCTGCTCTGCAAGAGTGGGGATAGAGGTGTTACTGGAGTCCCTGGAGTAACATGAGCTGGTGGCAGGGGCTCTGAGTGGGCCTGGGCAGTCCCCTCCTGCCACTCGCCCGTCCAATGCCTTGTGCCGAGGTATAGGAAGGGCCAGTGTTCTCCTCCAGTGCCCAAGTGCTGGCCCTGAGCTGGGGCCCACAGTCGCCCGCAGCCCAGGACACAGCTGGCCAGGCAGCACGGCAGCCCCCACCATGCTGTGCTGTGTGGTACTCACTGAGCCGCACACACGGCGTGATGGAGATGAAGGACATGATGCCACAGAGGCTGCCATTGATGGCAAGCAGTGCTTTGTTGAGGTGGCAGGCAGCTGGGTGGGTGTAGAACTTGTAGAGGAAGGAGAAGGCGGCAGAGGCAAGGGTGTAGAAGGCAGCCGTGGCCAACAGCACGGCCAGATACCAGCGCTTGTCCTGTGCAGCGCCTGTCAGCCTGCGGAAGAGTGGATGAGCAGTGGCAGTGGGCACGTACCCACCCCACCCAGCACCCCGGCACTCACCAGTTCTTGTTCCAGGTGTGTGCAAAGGCTGTGATCAGCACCAGCTGGATGAGGATGAAGGCGAAGCCCCCACAGACACCCGTGTAGTGCCAGGCTGGGGGAAGAGGACAGAGGTAGAGATGGCACAGGGCAAGGGGGGACCAAAAGGGGTGCCCAGGGTGCCAGCTCATATAGGGTGGGGGACACACCTTGGATGAAGTTGTCCTCAGGGATGAAGAAGCTTGCGGCCCAGAGGCCCACCAGCACCAGCAGCTTCAGGACCCAGAACCTACAGGGCAGGACTCAGCAGGACAGAGCCTCTGACAGCCCCACCCCAGGGCAGTCCCATCCCAGGACACCCTGTCCCAGCCCCATGGCCCATCCTTACCCATTGTGGAGCTGCGCACGGCAGTCAGAGCTGGAGCGCACGTTGAGCAGCAGGGCAGCCTGTGCCAGGTGGAAGCAGGCAGTGCCAAAACAGACCCGGTACACTGCTGAGGAGCCCACCAGCTGCTCACAGTCTGTGCCCCCGGGCAGGTGTTGGCACAACACCACTGAGAAGGGCACCTGGCAGGCACAGTGGTTGATGGGACAGGGCTGCTGGTGTGTCCACCCATCACCCCCCAGTGCCCATGGCATCCAGCACATCCAAACTTTTGATATTCCCACCATTCCCAATACCTTTCTCAGTACCCCGGGACTGCTGGGACCCCCAGTATGCCAGGCAAATCCTCATCTCTGGTACCCCAGCACCCCTTCCCCCTTGGCACCTCCAGCACCCTTGGCACTCTCAGCAGCCCTGTCACTCTCCCACCATCCCAGTATCCTCAGAATCCCAGTACTCCTGATGCCCATGGCAATTCTGGCATGCCCAGTGCTCCCCTGGATGACCTGATGTGCCAGCAGCCCAGTACCCTCAGAACTCATGGTACCCTTGAGAGCCCCAGCACGCCTGGCACCCCCAATACCCTGGGTGTCCCAGTTCTCTCTATCACCTTTTCCGTGATAGTCTGGGCTACAGTGCGGGACAGCATGAGGCAGCACACAGCAGAGGCCAGGACATGAAGGAGCGTGTAGAGGATACGCGTGCTCGTGGACACGCGGAGCCCGTGACAGCTGCAGCAGAGCTGGGGAGGGGCACGGTCAGTGGGGATCCCAGGGGACCAGCACTGCTCCCCAGCCTGGCCCAGCACACCCTACCCACCCAGACTCGCTCCCAGCCGTGCTCCCAGCCCTGCCAGACCCCAAGTCCCACCTGGAAAAGCAGCGGGTGCAGGAGGTGCCCCCGTACCGCTGTGCCCGCCATGGCCCAGCTCGTCTCTGCTCAGCCCCCGCGGCGTTGATGGGATTAGGGGATTGTCAACTCGGCCCGCCCTGCCATCTGCTCGCTGTTCCCTCCAGGCAGCCGCCCCTGGGGTGCTCAATGGGCACTGTCCAGTGACTCCTGGCCGTGGGCATCCCTGCCCAGACCCGGTCCCTCCTCGGGCAGGGTGAGGCCCTAGCAGGTGGCCTGGACATGAACTTGGATGAGGGGCACGATGTCCCCCTGACCCCAGAGCTGTGTGGAGGGGCTGCGCGATGTGGAGTTTAGTGGAGGGTGGAGTAGCCCCGGGCACAGAGGCACCCAAGGGACGGCATGGAGCACATCCAGCGGGCAGCGGCACGCCGCAGGCTGGGGACAAGCAAGGGGACCCAGGGACTCTGCGGTGGTCTGGCGTCACCTTTCTGCAGCTGCCCCGCAGCCACCCAGGCTTTGTGCTGGCGGAGCCATGAGACACGGCGGGGGCCGGGACCGGGGCCGGGGCCGCAGTGACACGGATCCCCCGCGTCCCCGGTACCACCCCTGGCGGGGCACAGCGCGGGGGTGACACGTGAGACGCGTGAGAGCGGCGGGGGCGGGCCCGCCTGAGCCCGCGGCAGCGGGGCCGCGCCGCGGTACGGCCGCCGACGGCCCGGCTCTGGGGCACCGGCAAGCACGGCGGCGGCTCGGCCGCCTCCGGCAGCGCCCGAGGACCTGGCCAGGGCCCCGCTGCGGCCTGCCTCGTCCGACCATCCGTGTGGCGGCGGTGGGAGCCATATCGGGGTCCTGACCCGGCATTCCCGGGTACCGCCATGGGCGGGAAGCGCCGGAGGCCCGCTGCTATCGAGCGGCCCGAAAGCCCGGGAGTGCCGGCACTGCTGGCTCCGACCTGCCCGGAGCGCCGGGAGCACCGGGGAGCGCGGGTCGTGTCCGCTCGGCGGGACCGGTCCCGCCGCCCGCCGTGCCCGCCCCGGTTCTGGCGGCGCGCGCCGCTCGCGCCCCCGCTGGCGGCGCACGTGACCGGAAGCGGGCCGCGGCGGCGGCGGCATGGCGGCGGAGGGCGATGTGGAGCTGGAGCTGGAGACGGAGCCCAACGGCTCCGGCGGCGGCAGCGATGGGGCGGGCGGTCGCGCGGCCGAGAAGCCGCGGAAGCACGATAGCGGCGCGGCGGACCTGGAGCGCGTCACGGACTACGCGGAGGAGAAGGAGATCCAGAGCTCCAACCTGGAGACGGTGCGGCGCCGGGACGGGACCGGGCCAGGGTGGGAGGCCGGGCGCTGCGTGCAGCGAAGCCGAGCCGGGCGCTGACCACCGCGCCGGCACGCCCGCCCCGGTGCCGGTGCTCCTGCTGCCGGCGTGGCGCTGAGCCGCCCGGTGCCGCGCAGCGGGGTGACCGCGCTCCTTCTGGCAGGCTATGTCGGTGATCGGAGACCGGAGGTCCCGGGAGCAGAAAGCCAAGCAGGAGAGGTAACCGTCCGCGCTCGGTCCGGGGCAGTCTTGCAGCTTGTCGCCACTCGGGACACGACCCAGGCATCTGCTTCCCTGTCTGACATCCCGGCCCTTCCCCAGCCCCACGCTGCTGCGAGGGGTCCCTCCTGCCCCCCTCGCGGCCGAAGGAGCACCGGGACAGTGGCCAGTGGAGACTGTTGGTCACCGGAGGTTTGTCCATCTCTTGTCGTAGGGAGAAAGAACTGGCAAAAGTCACCATCAAGAAGGAGGATCTAGAGCTGATTGTGAGTAGGGGTGAGACCCCAAGCAGGCTGTGACATGTCCCAAATCGTGGGTGGGAAACTGCACCCACGGAGGCCGGTGCATGCCTGCCCTGAGGCCGGTCCAGGGTCCCCATGGGTGGGTGTCCCCCACTGTCCCAGCCTGCAGGGCCCTGCGGGTGCTGTACGGGGCTGTGGCTGTTTTTCTGCAGATGACAGAGATGGAAATATCACGGGCCGCAGCGGAGCGCAGCCTGCGCGAGCACATGGGCAACGTGGTGGAGGCTCTCATCACCCTCACCAACTGAGCTGGGAGGCCATGGGCTGCTGGGCAAGGGCTTCTCGCCATACCAATAAAGGCACTGGTGGGACTGGGCTGTCTTTGTGGTCTACACGGTGCTGAGCACATGCCCCTGGTCCTGAGTGCATGGTACCCACAAGTGGGGCCCAGTCATGTGGCATAGTGTTGGCAGTGCCAGCTGGGCACCGTGACTACAGCAGGAGAAAGTGACCTGCCTGAGCAGTGAGACATGTTGTTATCCCCTCTTTTAATCTCTGCCCCTGGGGCAGCACAGGCTGGACAGGCACAGGCCTGAGGCAGTGGTGACAGCTGATCATACATGTCCTGCCCAGGCTGGTGTCTTCTGTGCTGCCCCAGCTCACCCTGGCTCACAAGGAAGGCACACAACAGGATGGCCTGTCTTGAAGAAGAATGGGGCCAGAGTGTGTAAGAAAATCAAATCTTTAATCAAACCCTCCCACCCCACACAGGTAGAAAAGCCAAGCCCTGCAGAACCATGGTAAGGAGAGAGGGTCACCACTGACCACCTCAAAACAGGGCCCAGACTGACATCAGGGACAGTACAAGCAAGGGGCTGTAAACCAGAGAGGTGCAGAAGTCCAAGTAATTCTTCCGAAGTGGATGTGCTGGAGCCAGGGGCGGTGCTGCAATGTTCCAGACACTGCCAAGGCTCCACAGTGGCCATTGCTGGGACATAGTGTGGCCACCAGCCTGGCCAGCACCACAGGCCATCATCCTCTACATTGCATGGGCAAGGAACCCATCGGGTCTGCTCAGCACAGGGAGTGGAACACCTCATCAGGGTAGGCATGGTACAGGCAGGGGAAGGGCTTGCCACCACGGGAGTCCTGGAACATGTCCCTTCTGGCCCTGCCCAGGCTCTGGCAGCTGGCAGAGCGGCACCCTCCTGCCAGCATCAGCCACACCAGACCCTCCAGCCCATGCTCTTAGGTAGTTTTTCGTTTCTTGGCCGAGGGTCTCTCAAAGACATCGCGCACTCCCGCTGCCTTCTGCTTAAAGAACTTGGTGTTCTGCGCACTCTCCTGGCCCCAGGCAGAGTCAAAGGAGGTGGTGTCCTGGTCCACCAAGTGCGTGTACTTCGTCCGCCCCGAGCGCCCGAAGTTCTTGACCTGGGGAGCAGAAGAACTTGTGAGCAGCTGTTCAGAGGGGAAGCAGGACCAGGTCCTCCCCCTGCCCAGAACTTCCACCTCTTGGCATATGGGCTGGGCACTGTCTGCCAGCATGACACCCACCTGCATGACTTTGGGCAGGATGGTCTTGTTGAAGTGGTCCTCAAGGGTCGGAGCACTGAAGTCCCTCTTGTACACCTCCTCATCCTCATCCTGCAGGAGGACACACTTGCTCAGCCTAAAAGGTTCCAGCAAGTCTTGGCAGCAGTGGGGGAAGCTGCCTGAAGGTCATATTGCTGCTCTGCCAGGGCCGCCACAGTACTTGCAGCCCTATTAACTCCTGCTGGAGTGGGGGATGTGAGTGAGCACTGTTCCCCAGGGTGCTTCTCCAGTGGCCCATCCAGAGCTGATTTGGTTCTGGCTGGGTCTGTCAGCCCGAACACCAACACAGGGACAGCTCTGCAGCTTCAGCTCCATTTCAGCTGGGAACCCCTAACCTGACACGCTCTGGTGAGGTCACTCTGGGTCAGCTTTAGCCCCATGCTGCCTCTGAAGGTTGGCTCTTGTCCCAGGCACCCCCAGCCTGAGGACACCCAGGGAGAGGGGAGGCTCCCCACAGGGAAAAGGTGGCCCTGCAGTCTCACACCTGCAGCCAGTGCAGCCAGGCCTGGCCCTAAGTACACTCACCATGAAGAAGGCACCGCGGTGGTAGTACTTCTGCAGGAATTTGTATTTGCCCTTTACTGCCTTGTTGGTGATGACTTTACCATTGGCCCGGAGCTCAGCACGGCGCTCCTCCTCTGTCAGGTTCCGCATACGCTCGATCTCTGCCTTCTCCTTCTCCATGCTGGGTGGGAGAGAAGCTCCTGAGACTGTGTGTCCCCACAGCATCTCCCGGGAGAGAGGCTGTCACCAGCTAACACATGAGAGCTTACACATTTACTGCTAGGGAGCAAAGGCACCCCAAGGGTGGGCAGGAGGGACTCTGGGCATTCAGTCCAGCTGGGACCCTGCTGCCAAAGGGCAGCCTGAGGAAAAGGTGGGGTCTCAGCCTCTAGTCTGAGAGACAATACTTACGCTTCTCGTTCTTCGCGGTCTCGTTTGATACGCTTCAGCTCACGGACTTTCCAGGCCTCATACTCCTCCTCATCGTTCTCATCATCTGTATCGAGTGCATCCAGTGCTGCCAGTGAGCGCTTGTTCTCCTCCAGCTCCTTCTTTGCTTCCTCTTCTACAATCTGCAGTGAGGCCCAAGCTAAACTTGCTGCAGTGGCTGCCCCCTCCAGCCTCCAGCCCACCCCTCCGTACCTTAAGCGTGTACTTGCGCCTCTCCTCTGCCATCCTCTTTGCCTCCTGCTCCAGCTCCTTCTGCTTCAGAGCTTCTGCTTCTCTCTCCTGGACTGTGATCCGGTCCTTCCTGCAAGCAGGGCCATGACAGCCTTCAGCCCTCCCACGAGCCAGTGCAGTCGCTCAGCCTCTCACTGGCTCCCACACTGCAACTGCTTTCAGCCTTTGCCCTCTTCAGGGATAGGTCAAGTCCCAGGGCTCTCCCCTTCCTGGGTACTACCACGTTCTTTTGCCACTATATGGCCCTTGACCAAGAGCTCTGGTCAGACTCCACAGCCTGATGCCACAGCAACCCAATGCAACTGATACAGGGCTGTGGGTACAGGGATTGCTCCTTGCTCCCTAGCTGTGCCCTGCCAGGCTGTGACCATCCCATCCCACCCCAAGGAGGTCAATGGCTTCTCACAGTGAGAAGAGACCATCATGGCAGCAAGGTCTCCTTGGGCCCCAGCTTCTGACTACCACGATCCAGGGCCAGCCTACACACTTCCATCACCTACTTGCGAATAAAGACCGGTTTGAGACGTGGCTCCATTTCATCTTCGCTGTCCGTGTACTCCTCATACTCGGATTCTGACTCAGACTCTTCTCCAGACCGACCCTCATCTTCCAATTCCATCACTTCCATCTCCTCAGTTTTCCTCTCCTGTGCTCGCTGACGCATCATCCCACGCCGACGCTCAATCTCCTAACGGGGACAAGCACAGAGCAGTCAGAGGCCTGCCCTGCTACCACTTCTCTCTCTCCTGTGAAACACGTCACGTCTGCAGTGTTGGCTTTGAGAAGATGCACCTGCCTGTCTGGACGTGGCGTGGCCTCCCCCAGTGTCCTGTTCCATGCCAGAGGATGATAACTTACATGGTTAAGTCGTGGCTAGGTGTGACACTTGTCCAGATACATCAGACAGCCCACATATCCATGCAAAGGGCAGTTCCAGCCTGTGCCCTTCCAGCTTTCCTAGGCCCATTATCTGGCTCTGCAAACACACCTCATCATCGATCTCTTCCTCCTCCTCTTCACTGGTGTCCTCCCGTTCCAGGCGCCAAGCTTCTCCCCCCTCCACTTCTGAATCGCTTTCTCCGACCACTTCAGGTTCCACGATTTTGCGGTGCCTTGCCAGCCTGCAAGAGACCCCAGGTGATGCACAGCACTTGGAACGTAAGGGGGCTGCAGGAAAGTGACTGTTCACAAATCACTTCTAGCAAGGCCACAGTAAGCACTGGGACTGCCAAACATGGCCAGAATTGATATGTTCTCTACCAGGTCACAGTGCCTGGGCACTGCCAGCTCTTCCCTGTCAATGCTTCAAGGAAGAATGCTGTTCCAAATGAGAAGACTCCTTGTTAGTGGAAACAAAACCAACAGCAGCTCCATGGGAGGCAAACAGCACTTAGTGGTGCTTTTCTGCAGATGATGGAGACGGAAATATCACAGGCTGCAGTGAAGCGCAATCTGCGCAAGCACATGGGCAACGTGGTGGAGGCTCTCATCACCCTCACCAACTGAGCTGGGAGGCCATGGGCTGCCCAGAGTGCATTTCACGAGACACCATCCTTCCTTGCTACCCCGAGCTTCAGCACGCTGCTCTAATTTCTGTTTTGGTGCCTGTTTCTCCTACCATCCACCCACACACACCTGGACATGGACTGTGCCTGGCTGGCTCCTGGCTGGAAAGCAGCCCAAGGCACAGTGGATATGAGAAGTCACAAACGCTCCAGCACTGCCTGGATAATGTTCCCAGCTCTGCCCTGTGGAGTTTCTCCTTGCAGTGTAGAGTCCCAGCCCCCCGGCCCCAGATAGGCAAAGGGGGCTCAGCTCTTGTTGACCCAGCACTCACCGCTCCTCCACATCCTCAGCGATGCGGTTCTGGAGGCGCCGGAGCCGGGGGTCGTTGGCCAGTTCCTCCTCCTGTTCCTCGGGCTCGACCTCTTGCTCCTTCGCCTTCTTGATGAATTGGAACTCCTCGTCCTCCTCCTCCGAGGACTCCATGGGCGCGTAGTCGGGCCGCTTGCCCGACACGTACCGCTTCACCTTCACCTTCTCCATGGACAGCTCGCCTGCGGGTGCCGGCCGTCAGCGGCGGTCTCGGCCCCGCACCCCCGTCCCGGCCCCGCGCCCGCCCGGCCTCCCCGCCGAGCCCCGAGCCCCCAGCTCACCCTTCTCGTTGCGGACGGGCACGGCGCCCGCCGTGGACTGGATCGGCGGCTGCTTCATGAGAGCGCTGGGGACCGACATGGTGGCGGCAGGCGGGGGCCGGGCCGGGCCGAGCGGGGCCGAGCGGAGCGGAGCGGGGCCGAGCGGAGCCGAGGGGAGCGGAGCGGAGCCGAGCCGGGCCGGGCCGAGCGGAGCAGAGCCGAGCGGGGCCGCTGACAACGGCGCCTCGAGCTCTCACCCGGAACCGGAACCTCGGCCGCTTCCGCCGCCACCGGGACCGTGCCGGGGCCCGGAAGTGGCGCTGGGCCCGGGGTCGCTGCCGCGGGGACGGGCACCGGGGCTCGGAGCCGTCTGCCGTGGCTGCGTGTCGGCCCGGCGCGGGGTGCTCCGGGCCCTGCGGCCGGCTGGCAGGGGGGTCCCCGGTCGTTTCGCCATCCGCCTTCGGCCGGGAGAGGCTCCGTTCCCCCCTGCACGATGCGGGTTTCTCCCCGGAGGGGAGTGAGGGCGAGGCAGCGGCCGAGCGGCCATAGGACGGCGGGGGCACCGGCAGCGCCGCGATGGGGCTCTGCGGCTCGCCCGGGTGCGGCTCGCCCGGGTGCTGCTCGCTCCGGCCGCGTCTAAGCGGCGCCGGGGCTCTGCGGGCCCGGCCGTCCCGTGCGGGCTGCGTCTGAGCCGGCAGCTGCCGGAACGGAGCGCCCAGGGCCACCCGTAACTCGCTGAGCTGGGGAACGGCCTGCGCCTGGCAAATTCCTGTGCCGAACTGCCCGCCCAGCCTGAGAACCGCTGCTCGCTTTGGTGCGCGGTGGGGCTGCGGGGCTGTGCGGAGCCCGCTGCCAGCGCGGCTGCTCGGGGCAGAGCGGGGCTGGGTGTCCCTGGAGGCCAGGTGGCCGTGGCTGCTGCCCAAGCCGTGCCGTTCCTCCCTGCAGTGCGGCACGGCAGGCCGTCCGCCTTTGCTCCCGACGGCCGCAGCCAGCCATGACCCCAGTCTCCCTGCTCTGCCCGCTCCAGCCAGCTCCAGCAAGCCCCAGCGCTGCTGCCTGGCTCCCTGGCAGCAAGGACAAATAGCTCTTGCGTGCCCCCGGAGCCCTCGGCCAGCGCCAGCAGGGCAGCTGCTGCCGGTGGGGCAGCACCTCCACCTGCCGCACGGCAAGGCTGGGGGAGCTCCTGGGGGTCCCACTGGCGTGGGTGTGAAGTGTCTGTGGGGAAAGGCTGGGGCCACGGCTGCTTCTTGGGGGTTTCCCGTAAGCAGCTGGCTGCTGCCTGTGTCAGCAGCCGAGGTGTGTGAGGCTTCACAGTGTAGGGCGAGTGGCTGGGGTGGGATGTCCCTGTGCACGCATCCTGCCGCAGAAGATAACAGTTTCTCTTAAGTTGGGTAAAACTGCGTCACAAGCCACTGCAGCCACGTCTGCCACTTTCTGCTACCTTCTGCTGGCTTCTACGAAGAAAGGAAGAGGAAATCCTCTTTTATCTTCCATGAAATCTGCTTGCTGGCAGGGAAATTTAGGAAGCAGGGGGAGCGAGCCACACTTCAACAGTTCACCGGCAGTAGCAGAGCAGGTACTCTTGTGGGGTGAGGCTAGCTCTGGCAGCCAGGAAAGGCCAGGGCACATGTGCTTTTCCAATTGGTGGCTCAGCAGTGGAGCACAATCCATAAGGGAGTGCAGGGAAGTGTTTTTCTTTTGGTGTCCTTGGTCTGGCTGGGAGATGTCCCTCTGGCAGCATCTCCTGCAGCCAGTCTAGGGGAGAGCAGACCAAATTTTTGGCAGCAGTACCCTAGTCTGGTCCCAGAAGTGGCTGCAGAGGTCCCAATGCCACGGTGGAGGCTGACTCTCCTGGGAGACTCTCCTTGGCCTACAGAGATGCCAGGACTGGGCAGATCCAGTTGGATGACCACAATCTGGCTGGGCTGCAGGTGGGGGTGGCTGCCCCAGGCACGGGGACAGGTGGGCCCAGTCCCTTGAAGCACTGGCTGGCTGCACCTGGCATCCTGACTCAGTCCCTGCTCTGGTTCCAGGGAAGGGTGTCCCTGCAGTGCCCTCCATACAGACCCATTTCTGCTGCAGGCAGAAATGGTGCAGTGAAGCTGGTGGTTTGCCTGAGCAACTGAGGCATCGATGCCTTTATAATCCTACAGCACCTACAGACTGCCAGGAACAAGCAAGAGTGGATCTGTGTGCTTGTTGGTGTTCTTCTGGCCTTTGCACCCAGGTGACAACCAGAGCAGCCACTCTGTGTTTATGTTGTTAGTGTTGGATGTTGTCACAGTGTGTTCCCACCTAGTGAGTCCTGTGCCACATGGCAAGGAATAAGCTTTAACAGGACTTGAAGGAACAGTTGGCCACAGTACCCAAGAGGAAGCTTGAGGATTGCACACAAAGCAGATACTGTCCTATTCAAGTGAAGCTAAACTAAAGACCTGGGCAAACAGGGAAATACCTTCAAGCCTGGCTCAGTTCTGTGGCTGCAGGTGCTGGAGGCCATGGCAGGAAGATGCCCTTCACTGCAAAGTCTCTTTGCCCCATGTTCCCTTTGCCCAGTGCAGTGGCTGCTGACATCTTGGCCCTGCCAAGTCTTGGCAGTTGGCAGATGGGCAGCAATGGGGTGGGAGACACTTTGTGAGGCTGAGCCCCCCATTCCTGGGGTGGTGTGAAGCCATGGAAGGCTGGCAGCTGTTCCATGAGTGAGCCTGGAGCATGGGCCAGTCTGCCCCTCAGTGCTGTGCCAGCCACACCTGCTGGTCTTTGGGCTGGGTTTGCTTGTGAGCACCCCCTCCCCAGCCCACCGAAGCCCACGGGCACATGGCATTCCTACTGCTGGGCTGCAGGTGGGCTCCCAGCCTTGTGTTCCTTGCCCGTGTGTGTGTGTGTGTTCCTGTGCGTGACACTACTGTGGAACGCCCCAAGTGCCACAGGCACCTTATGCACTTAGGCTGGGCAAGGAAATCCCTGCACCTGTACAGCAGGTGATGACAGGGTGCTGTCCAGGACAGGTGATGGAAGGGCACATCCCGCAGCCCAGAGCAGGGGCAGAGCCAGACTAGGCTGTGGAGCATTACGACTGCTGCTGACAAAGCCTAAGGCAGATAGTTACAGAACCCACCTTGAGCAGCTGCTGTTTGTGTCTGCAGCTGTACTGCAAGGACAAGGTCAGGGTGTTTGGGCTGGGCCTGTGTCCCTGCATGTGCCTACAGTGAGATGTTGTGTCTGGGAGTCAGAGATGAGTAGAGCTGCTGGAGCCAGCTGGACCCTGTAGACCACAGGTCCTGCCTGGAGCATGGCAGTCCCAGCTCCCTCAGCACTCAGAGACCTGCTGGTAGTATCCAGGGTGGAGGGGACAGACTGGGGAGACTCCAGGGAAAGGGACTGCAGCCTTAGCTTTGGGATAGTGTAAGGATGTGTGCAGGGAGAAGGCTGGACAGCACAGCAGAGGGACTGTGGGCTCACCTCTGCTGGCAATGGGGCAGAGCAGGCTGCTCTGTGCTGGGTAAACCTTCTGCTATTGATTTGGTGCATCCAGAAGTTTCTGCCTGCTGTTGCTGCCTGTTACTTGGTTTTCTCTGCTGGTTTCTCTGTGTGGGCACTCTGCTCTTTACTTGCTCACTAGCTGCTTTCACCTGCAATCCTCCAGGTCCCCCAGGCTGGGATGTTTGCAGGCAGGAGTGCAGCCCTATGCTGCTCTGTTTCCCAGGGAGCTTAGGCAGATGGGCAGTTGTATTCTGCAGGTTGAAAGCTAAAAATGAACCTGATTTTTCCATGAAAGTGGGTTTCTGTTGATTGTGTGTGCAGCCAAGCCACACCAGTGTGCTCAGAGAAGGGGAGTGTGGGGGACTCTCCCACCCCCAGTGAGCAGTTTGGCCCCTGTGGCCATAGTGAGAACCCCAGGGGATCCTAGCAGGGCAGACCTCACAGGATGGGACAGTACAATGGGCCGGCAGTAGTGCTGCCAGTTTGCTGGGCACTGCTGCATGGAGCGGCTGTTTCTGCTGTCTCCTGGGCTGCACTGGTGTCTCTGAGCCACAGTCCCCAAGTCTGAGATGAGGGTTTGTGCCTGGCAGATGTGCGGCAGTAGCTGTTTCACCCCTCGCTGTATCATGGCTCGGGGCAGAGAGGGGTGCCTGGCAGCCCTTGTGAGGTGAGTGGGGCACGGCAGCCGCTCAGATCCCTGCTGGTGGCCTCTCTCTGCTCCTTCTGCAGCTGGGCCCAGGGGCTGCTGGCACAGCGGGTCTCCTCCCGGTCTGTGGTGATGTGCCACCTGCAGCCAGGTGCTTCCCGACCCTGGTGTTTTCTTTGGCAGGGCTGTGGGGTCAGCGCAGGTCCCAGGCCAGTGGTTTGCGTAAGAGCGTGGTGCTTCCTGCCCGCCTGCCCTGCCCCGCAGCACCGCCATAAGCCCGTGGTGACAAGGGCCCTTTGTCAGCTCCTCATGTCACAGGGCTGCGTGCAGCAGCTCCTCACCTGCCTTGGCACGGCTGCCAGCGCCCAAAGGAGGCATCCAGAGGTAAGGTTCATGGGTGGGGCAGGCAGCCTGTGTCCCATCCTCCCTCCCACCACCAGTCCGGACTCCAGCTCCGACCTGCCTCTGTCCATGCATTCTCCATATAACCCCATGGGGCACAGCTGGTCCCTGTGTCCCCAAGGGTAGGTCTGAGCTTGCCAGCTACAGGGACGACTCCTGAGGATGCTGCAGTGACACTGAGGTGAGTGCTGCCTGTTGGGTGGGTGCCTTCTCCCCCTGGTGGGACAGTGGCCCTTAAGGTGGGCCTGGGGCACCACAGCCCCTGTGGCTGGTGGTCTCTGGTGCAGCACTTGAGGCTGGATGCCAGGGTCGGCCCAGCCCAAATACCTGCAGTCAGGGTGCTGCCCTGCAGAACTAACCCAGTTTAGAACAGCAGCCTGCCCTGTGCTAGATTTTCTGGGCTGTTCTCAGCATCTCAGTTACCAAGGTGACTGTTTCCTGTGTGATTGCTAATGCTTCATGATCTTGATCATGGTATCTGAGTGACTTCCTTTTCTCTGGAAAGAGCACTAGGACCTGCTCCTGCCCCAAGCTGCCAGACTCATTGCAGATGTGGAAGATTCAGGTCAGTTTGGGTTCAGGTCACTGTGGGTTCTGCTGCATTTGTGTTGCTAATGACACGGTACCGTGCCCACAGTACGTTGTTCTTTACAAATGACTGAAGCTGTGTATTTCACTTCTCACCTTTCCTCCTTGGTGGAAGTCTCTCTCTTGACATGGGGCTCATAGATTTTTTTCCTTGTGTTATTCCTTACCAGACAGTTTCTTTGTCAGGCTGCTGCACACGGATCTGGGGTTGCAGCCCCACGATAAGGACCTCATGGGAAGTACGATTCCCGCAGCCTGGTTGGGGAACTCTCTGCTCCGGGGTCTGCCAGGGCTGGAACAGGCTAATGTGGCAGTGCTCATGTCCTGCCAGCCCCGTGCCACAGCATAACGCACCACTTGCTGCACCAGGTGGGAGACGGGGCATCTTCTGCGTGCTCTTCCCTGCAGGCAGCCTTACACCCCCGGTCACTGCTGCGGGCCCGTGGCGGGGGTTCACGGCTCCCACAGCGCAGATCCGGGTTTCCTGCCTGGGCTGGCACAGGGTACCCCGCGGTGGCACGGTCAGCCCCATGTTCGGTTGCAGGAGAGGCCGTGCAAAGCCCCGGGCCGTGCCCGGTACCGGCGACGGGGAACGGCCCCGATAGTGGCGGTGCCCCTGGCGGGCGGCACGGAGGGGTTGCCGGGGGGTCCGTGACGGACCCGGCGATGCAGCACGGGACGGGAGGGGCGGGCGGCGGTGACGGCATCCGGCGGCGCCCGGCAGAGCGGCGGCCGGGCCGGGCCGGGCCGGGCCGTGCCGAGCCGAGCCGAGGGAGCCGCGCGGGGCCGGTGGCTCGGCCGTCGGGGCGGGGCCGGGCGGCGCTGACAGCTGCGCGGCGTAAACAAGCGGCCCCGCCGGCCGCCCGGCCGCCCCTGCCTGGGCCGGGCCCGGCTCCGGGGCGGGCGCTCCGGGCGCCCCGCGGCGTGACGCGGCGCCGCCGACAGACGGGCCCGGCTGCCGACGGGACGGAGCGCAGCGGGCAGGCCGCGCGGTAAGGGCGCGGGACCGGCATCGGCCTGGGCTGGCTCGGCCCGCCGGCGACCGCGGTTTGACAGCTGGGGCGGCCCTGCCGGACGGGAGCCGGGCGGCGGAGGGGCCGGGGCCGGGGAGGCCTCTGGGGCTGCAGCCGCTGGGCAGCCCCGGGCTTAGGGCGCTGCCGGCGGGGATGTGCCGGCCCGGCGGTCCCCCGGAGCGAGTTGGGGGCCGGGAGGCGGCTCTCGGAGCTGCGGAGGGGGCAGCCGGAGGCGCCGCTGCGGGAGACCGAGGGGGAGCCAGGCCGCGGCCCGGCCCGGTCCGGCCCCCGGCCCCGTCCCGGCCGCCGCCGTCCGGAGCCCCGCCGCTGGAGCCGCCCCCGCGCGCAGGCCCGGGCCCGCCGCTCGGCCGGGGCCGCTGGGCTGCTCCTGTGCGGGGCTGGGTCCTTGGCAGCGGGCACGGGCCGCGGTGCGGAGCCGGAGCGCGGCTCCGCGCTGGGTGCGGCGGCCGGGCCGTCCCAGCACGCGGGGTTCGCTTCCCGGGTCCGACGGGCGGGCTCGGCGGGGTCCGGGCTCTCCCCGGCGGGCAGGCTGTCCCCACGTGCAGCGCTCACCGCCGGAGCGGTGACGGCTGCTGGCGCCGGGACCAGTGCGCTGGGAAATAGCCCGGCCTGGGAGCCAGGTATTGGCAAGTACGCTGGTAGACCATGGCAGATAGGGTTCCACTGTGCTTACTGTGCTGAGGGCCTTGACAGTCTGGCACCCGGGGCTCCCGTACAGCCTCCGGCGGGTGCTCGCAGCTCTGGGAGCTTTGTTGGGGCGGTCTGGTCCGGGGCTGGCCGAGGTGTGGTCGCTGATGGGGGAACCCCGCTGTGCCAGAGTGTCTGCACTGTCTGTGCCGTAGACCATGGCGGGGTCTCCGGCAGCTGCTCGGACCCCAGGCTGCCAGCTCGCTGTGGCCGCTTCTGGATGGAGGGGGATGTGGCTCCTCTGGGCACTGCCGGCTCTCACCTTTCCAGCTTTCTCTGAAGCATGACTAGATATTCAAGCGTCCCTCTGGAGCTCCGTGTGTGGAGTTCACCGTGGCACCATCATATTGTGGTCTCCCTTACACTGGGTGGGTCATTCCCTGCTCTTTCCCTACAAGTTCTTGTGTTTGCCCTCGCACAAAGTATGAGCTGTTCCTGGGCATCCCTGGGTTCATGCTGGAGGTGACAGTATGCCCCTTTTCCTGGTCCTGGTTTCCACCGGGTTGCGGGGATGAGTCACACCGGTGTCACCATATTGTGCTCCAGAGGAAGGGCAGAGCTGAGCTGCTGCTGGCGACAGGCAGCACAGTACTTGCCATGGCTGCCAGGCACTGCCTGGTCAATGGCTGTGGAGATGAGAGCCTACGGGTTTGCTAGAGATCAGGAGCTCCCCTTGACTTTTCTCCTACCAGTCTCTCATTTTGTTGGGATTCCTTGCACAGCTCATTTGGTCTCCCCTTGGGACTGGAGAGGCAGGCCTCCCATCTCAGTTGCTCCCACCTCTGTACCCAGATAGTCCCATCCCAGTTGGAGCAGAGGTAGTGGCAGCAGGAGGCACAGCAGTCTCTCTTGCCTTGCCTCTCCCCTCCTTTGGTGCCCTCCTCTCCTTCTGGTTAATTCCCTGTGTTTATAAGCAAACATTGGGTAATAGGCAAGGTAAACAACATCTCCATGCAGGAGCAGACATGTGGGCACACCGCCAAGCCAGGCGGCTCCTTGGCTGTTGGTTTGCCGTGGGGGGCAGCAGGTGCTGTGTGCCAGGCCCCCTTGCCCACGTCTCTGCGTGGTGCAGCCTGCCCTCTCGAGGTCTGAGGAAAGGTGCCCTGGGCATGACCTCTGTCCTGTCTCTGCAGATCGTGCTTGTCTCCTGGATGGTGTGTTCCTGCGCTTCTGTGGGCTTGGCCCCATGTGGGCTTGGGCTGAGCTGGGACCAGTAGGACAGAGAGGCCAGTGTGCCTCGGAGTGCTGACGCTGGGAGGCTGCTGGACCTGCTCCTCCCAGGACCCTCCTGCTCCTGGGACCCTCCTGCTCCCCAGCTTGAGGAACCCCGATACTCTGATGGATCTGAGGCCCTGCTCGCTGCTGTTGCTCTGGACTCTGGTGGTAGCCCTCACTCTCCTGGACCAGGAGGTGCTGGCCCAGCATATTTACACCAACACCTGGGCTGTGCTCGTCCCTGCAGGACCCCAGGAGGCTGACAGGCTAGCCAGGAAGCATGGATTCCTCAACCTAGGCCCGGTAAGTCTCCTGCTTCCCTCTTCTCACTGAACTAGTTTTCTCTGACATGGTCTGGGCAGGCGCTGAGCTTAGTCCCAGAGTTTGCTTGGGGCCTGCTCTTTTTGGTAGCAGGGCCACTGTGCTGTGCCTGTTTGCTGTGGCCTTCCAGCATCTGCTGCCTTGACTCAATGATGGCAATTACCTGTGTGGAGCCAGGGTCTCCCTCTGTCACTGGGACCTCCTGGTGACATGGTGTGGCACACTGCCTGCTAGATGGGGAAGGAGGAAAAGTCCATCCTAGTGTGAGGAGCTGGACTGGAAGTGCTGTGTGATGATGGATAGGAAAGCTTCCAGATTCTGCTGTTGCTCCCCACAGCAAGCTGCCCAGTGCAGCATGGTCTTGGTTCAGCAGGACGGCAGCAGCACCTTTGAGCTATCTCCAGAGAGGGTCTGACAGCAGCTGTGTATTCTTACTCCTAAACTGTCCTTGACAGAAGATGTGTCAGCAGGGGAGTCCCCTCAACTCTCAGCTTTCCCTTCTGTCAGCCAGCGACCAGGCAGTATGTGTGGCTCTGCTGGGAGTGTGCTGTTTCTCCAGGAAGGAAGTGCAGGGTGAAATCCCAGAGGAAATTGCACAACTGGTGGCTGTAGTGTCAGGACCTCGCTGGGAGCAGCTGCTGGGAGCAGTGGGAAGGTGTCTGTTGCAGGAGCCAGCGGGACCTTGTCCTGCCACCCAAAAGGAGTCCTGCATGGGCGCTGGGTACTCAAGGCCCTCTGGGACTTGTGTTGTGTCATAGGAGTGAGCTGGGGGGGTTATGGCTAGGCCTCAGTGAGGGTGTCCGTGCTGGGCGGGCCATGGCACTGCCTTAGGCAGCTGCTGTCAGTGTGGAAGTGGCTCAGAGTAGATCTCGGGGAAAGAACTTGTCAGGCCAAGGCAGCTGCCGTGCGTAGGGGACTGGGAGAGTGGCATGTCCCACCAGCCTGGATCTCTGATGAGACCCCTTGGAGTGGGGATGGGGCTGAGGTACTGGCCGCTGGAAGCTCCTGGCAGTGCTTCCCATCATGCTGTGGTGCCTGGTCCCAGGCCTGGCTGCCATGGCCAAGGGCCACTGGTTCTGTGGCTTCATCTTCACAGTGCAGAGCCTTCCTTGTACTTCAGCTGAGAGCCCAGGCCTGTCATGAGTTGCATCCCTGTGAGCCACAGAGGCTCTGTGTCAGTTCTGCCCTTGTCTTCTCCCCGCACCGTGGTTCTGCAGGCTGGCACCTCTTCCTGGCTCCCCATCCCCTCACAGCAGTGAGCCTGCCCTTGCAAGCAGAGCCCCATGTGCTGCAGCAGCCCAGGCTGTGGCCAGAGCTTCAGGTCTGGGCATGTTTTCTCCTGTTCTGGAGTCTGTCCCACTGTCTGCGTTGCAGGACGAGGTTTGGCTGGCCAGGGCTTTGCAGACGGACCCTTCCAGTGGGAAGAGTGTGGCTGGAAAGAGCCTGGCTTTCCCTTGCAGGTTTCTGGACTGCTGCTCTTGGGAGTGTGTGCCACTGGAACAGGGTATGCAGCCAGGCTGGGAGTGGGGGGACTGGGTGCACCTGGCAGTGCCCCAGTGTCCTTGTCTGAGAGGATCCTGGCCTCAGCCTGGGGTCAGGACACTGTACCTGAAGCTGCGCTGTCCTGGCATACCCATGGCTGTGCTGCTGCCTATGGAATGGCAGTCAGTGGCACCTCGGGCAGAGGGCCCTTGACTGGCTCCAGTGGCCTTGGGGAGGGCTAGAGGGAGGACACAGGGGACAGTGGGGGCCGTGGGTCAGAGGTGGAGGCTGCATGTGGCAGTGAGGGGGGTGTGTAGGGGTTTGCACTGCTGGGATTGTGCAGAGAAGGGAGCAGAGGCACTGTCCCCCACTGCTGGGATGGGTCACTGGGGAAGGACACTGATGGTGCCATCCCTGGGCTGTGCTGACAGGACAGTGCCATCCCGGGAGGGGGTGCTCCTGTCTCCCACACCACCAGGCTGCAGGTCCAGCATGTTGCTCCACTCCAGAGGCCATGGCCAGGCATACAGGCAGCCTTCTAGCCCAGGGACTGGCCAGGGTAGTTGTGAGCTGCGGCCAAGGGTTGGGCAGCAGCACTGAACTGGCACCAGGGACACGTGGTGCTGGGGGGTGGCTCTGTCCTTGCTGAGGACAGGGACAGTGGAGATTAGGGTGGAAGTGTGTGGGCTGGCCAGCTCCTGGCTGCCACCACAGTGTCAGTGCAGACCTAATCCAGGTGGATGACTGGTCAGAGCTGTGATCTGTGTGGAGGAACAATCTGGGCTGTGTCCATACCCCTGGAGGGGGTGAGGGATGCTAAGGGAGGGCAACCAGCCTGCAGCTTGTATTCCCTCATCAGCCCTGTGCAGAGGCTTTGTACCTTGACACCTCCTCAAGGGCTCTGAACTGACACGCATCCTGGGCTGTCCTGGGGAATGCGATGTGCCAGAGGAACAGGCCTGGGGTTTGGGATCAAGTGCATACCTGGGAGAGGCGACTTCTGCACCAGGCCTGAGGGTGCTCAGCTGGGTGCACTGTGCTCGGCCCAGTCTGTGCAATTTGGCAGCACATCTGCAGAGCTCTAATAAGCTGGGGAGGTTTGTTAGCCCCAGAAAGACTGTTTTGGGGCAACCTGATATGGAGGATGGTGAGATGTCTTCATATTCCTACAGCCCTTGCAGCCCAGCCCCTCCAGCTCTGGCATAGCCTGGGCAGCTGGATCCTGCCTGTGGCTGCTGCCTGGGCTTTGTGACTCATAGGGAACTGGGTGCATGCTTGTCCCCTTATCCCCAGCTAGGGCAGGCTGCTGGGCTGGGTGGCCGGGGTGGGGCTACTGTGTCCATCAGCCCCAGGATGTGTGAGAGGGGATACGGAAATGACAGCACTGGAGAGGGTTTGGGGTTTAAAAATAACCATCTGGGTGGCAGAATGGCCTCCTGGCCTCACCAGCTGTCCTGGATTCCTGTCTTGCCCCAGGTGGTCTGTGCTGGAGTCCCAGTCTGGGCTGTCCCCACATGGGAATGGAGGGTGGGGTGAGGACAGCACGGCTGCTTGGCAGTGGGAGTTGGACCCTGCTGGGATGGATGCCTGCATGCCCCCCTGCTCTGCCCCACTGAAACCGGCTGTGCCTCTGGTGGAGGCTGACACTGGGTGGATGTTCCAGTGGGGCACCTGGGGAGAAGCCAGCAGCCTGTCCAGAGGTGCAGAGGCTGGTGCAGACCCTGCCCTGGCTAGGACACCTGGAGTGTGAGGCCTGGAGCCACTGGGACCTTCTTCCAAGAGGAGCTGGGTGGCACTGGGGGAGAAGCAGTGGGTTTGGCTCCTGAGTCTGGTGTCTCTCACCGGCTGACTCTGAAAGGCCTGTCCCTCTCTGCCACTGCTTGCCTGGGGCCTTCCTGCTAGGGCAGCAGTTTTTTTGGACAATGTTAGACTTGCTGCCGTGTGGGGACCTGCAGGAGGGTGAGGTGCACAGCAGCTTCATTTCTGCTACTCCAGGGTCTTCCCATCTGCCTTATCAGCAGCTGCCACAGCTTCTCACAGGAGGTCCCAGAGTACCGGACATAATACCAACCACTCTGGAGTTGGGGGCCCAGCCTGTGCATGGGGGCTCTGGAGCAGGATTGCACATATGGGGTGTAGAGAATCGGGGAGACCAGGCTGTCACGTCTGTCCCACGAGCAGCATTCTGTGTTGCAGATCTTTGGTGATTATTACCACTTTCGGCACCGCGGCGTGGTGAAGCGTTCCCTCTCGCCCCACCAGCCCTGGCACAGCCGCTTGGCCAGGGAGCCACAGGTACGAGCGAGGAGGGCCTGACCTTGGTCCTGGGCACTTCACAAAGGCACATGAGCCAGTGCTGGGCACAAGATAGGGCTGAGCTGCCTTAACCATTCCTTGGCAGAGGCGGGTGGGAGCCCACTGCATGTCTGGCAGGAGCAGGGGGCTGGTGGAGCCAGCGTCATTGGTGTGGGTTGTTGCAGTCCCAGGGCCCAGGAGAGCCTCTGTCCCCAGGAGAACTCTGGTTATTTGTAGGCAGGACAAGGTGTGCAGGGCAATAAACAGATCCCAGAGCAGTGGTGTGTGGGGGCTGCTGTTTTCCCCATCATCTGGTTTCAGCCCAGGCCCTGGAAGGCATGTGGTGTGGCATGGCAGCTCTTGGCAGCCCATGTCTCAGTGGAGTGTGGCACTCTGACTGCCCCACTCCACTGGAACACAGCCTTTGCAGGCACAGCCAGGAGGTGGCCTGAAGGGCCAGACTGGGGGTGCCAGTAGCTCTGACAGGTCCAATACTCTGCCAGACTAGAGCTGACTGTGAGCTTCCCGGGGAGAGCCCCTCCAGGCAAGCTCAGGGCTTGGGGATATGAGGAACTTGTGGCGTGAGGGGTCGGTGGGGGACCCCACACCTTCTCTGCTCTCAGGTGCAGTGGTTGGAGCAGCAAGTGGCAAAGCGCAGGACCAAGCGAGACGTTTTCATGGAGCCCACGGACCCCAAGTTCCCGCAGCAGTGGTACCTGGTGAGTGTTGGGTGAGAAAAGGGGCCTGTGCTCATGATTGTGGCTGCAAGTTTGGGGACACAGATGTGGCAACCTAGGAACTGCTGTCAGGCAGCAGCTGCCACTAGGCTGGCAGGAGGGAGGAGGAGGAGAAGGGGGAAAGCCTGGAGCAGCCACCCAGTGCTCTGCTATGAGAACACCCCAGGGAGGAGGCTCTGCTCACAGAGCTGTGGCTCCTGGCTGGAGTGCTGGGAGAGCTTGTGGGGGCCCAGGGCTGGACTGGGAGGTACAGCCTTTTGCCTAGCCCAGGAATGGGTCCCTGCCTCTGCCTGATTCCTGGAGCTTGGGCATCAGCTGGGGCTCAATCTTGCTTTCAGAGCAGCCCTTCTCAGCTAGTTGCGCCCAACCCTGTGCCCAGGTCCCTGGGGTTCTTTGTCGCAAGCTGCAGGAGAGCGGGCTGAGAGCTGGGTGGGTTTTGGGCACACATCCATCACAGTGGCTATGGCTGGGTGCATCTCCTAGTGCCAAGACTTCTCTTGTCAGTACAACACAAACCAGCGGGACCTGAACGTGCGGCAGGCCTGGGAGCAGGGATACACAGGCAAGGGCATAGTGGTGTCCATCCTGGATGACGGCATTGAGAAGAACCACCCTGACCTGGAGGCCAACTATGTGAGTTCAGGTGGTGGTGTGGGGCGGAGTGTCGTGGGGGCTGGTCTGGGCAGCTGTGTCCATGCAGGGCAACCCCAGAGCTGTGAGGTACAGGACTGGTGCCCACCATGGTAGGACATGGAGATGGAATTGGAGCCTGCCCATCCTGCTCAGCTCAGCCTCATGCCATCAAGTGCAGGCATGGAGTAAGGACAGTGGGGCTTGGTGGCTGACGTAGACAGTCTTCAAGTGTCCAACTTGTCTTCCAGGACCCAGGGGCAAGTTTTGATGTCAATGACCAGGACCCAGACCCGCAGCCCCGCTACACGCAGATGAATGACAACAGGTGAGGCAGGAGGGAGGGGTGAAGATACAGAGCCTAAGTGTGGCAGGGACTTAGTGCAGGGCCACGCCACATGGGCCGCTGGAAGCTGTGAGGCTGATGCCATACTTCTGCCCCATGGGGAACCCTTCACCTCCCTTTTTGATGTGAGCAGCATCCTCTTTCTGCCCAGAGTCAGTGTGAGCTGTTCAGTGCCCTGGCTCTGGAGCAGGAGGGCAGATGGAGGAGCCTTCATTGGCTACCTGGTTCAAGGGGACAGGAGGCAGCCCGGGTGGGGGTTGCTGGGGCTGCAGCTGGTGCTGACCCCTGTGCTCCTTGCACCCTGTACGAGCATGCTTCATCCTACTTTGGTTGCAGACATGGCACGCGCTGTGCTGGGGAAGTGGCTGCTGTGGCAAACAACGGCATTTGTGGTGTTGGCGTGGCATACAATGCCAGGATTGGAGGTGGGTGCTGCCCTGCCCTGTGCCGGGTCCTGTGGGTGTTGAGTGGCTGCAGCAGCAGCCTGGCACTGCTGGCTGCAGCAGCCCTGTGACAGCCTGTGGCACAGGTTGGCAGCAGGGGTTGGAGGGTTCTCACCAGCAGCACTGTGGCCACTCTGCCCCAGCCGGTCGCCTGTGACATTTGCTCTCTGGCCCTAGGTGTGCGCATGCTGGATGGGGAGGTGACTGATGCTGTGGAGGCCCATTCCCTGGGTCTCAATCCCAACCACATCCACATCTACAGTGCCAGCTGGGGCCCTGAGGACGACGGCAAGACTGTGGATGGCCCAGCCCGGCTGGCAGAGGAGGCGTTCTTCCGTGGGGTCAGCCAGGTCAGAAGGAGGGTGTGCTGGGGGAGCACTGGCCTTATTCCTCCCCTCCCCTCAAGTCTCCCTTCCCTCTGCCTGCCCTGGTTGTTACCCTGGCCCTCCCAGGATGAGCCATCTTCAGCCCATCTCTAGGATCAGGCTCTGTTAGTATTTCTTGTTCTTCCTGTGTGATGGCGCTGAGTCAGGACTCCTCCCATGTGGTGTTACCTCACTGCTGTGAGGGCTCCTGTGTGGGATGCTCCCTCCCTGCTCTCCCAAGCCCTTTCCTGGTTCTTTTCTGGTTTTGTGACAGATGCTCACCCTCACTTCCTCCACCCATCGTCCCCACTGTCCCTTTGTGCTGGCAGTGTTGCCTGCCTGGGGAGCTGTGTCCTGTTCTGCCCAGGATTCCTTACAGAGAGGTGCATGTGGTGCCATGCTGACTCTGTCACGTCCTCTGCAAGGGTAGCTGCCACATTTGGGTGCTGAGACATGGCCGGGACTGTGTTGTGGGCTCCTGCAGCTCTGCCAGGCACTGCAATCCCATGCAGACAGAGTCAGGCCAGGTGACTTCTGAGCAGAAAAAGACTTGTGCTCCTGGAAGCCTCACATTGTCTAGGCCTCCTGCTGCCTGGTGTGTCACCCACTGGGACAGCCCTGGAGTCTCTGCCGAGGTGTCGGGTACACTCCATAGGCATAATGGTGGTGAGGGCGCCGAGGTTGGTGGCTGTGACTGGGGTCTCATGCTGTCCCCCGTGTTCCAGCTGCATCTGCTCTGTTTGACTCAGGCTGGCGCCACCCACGTGTCCCCAGCTCCAGCCTGGGGTTTCCTGTGTGTGGCAGTGTCGGTGTTTGCCCTCACCCCGCCTCTGTTGCTAGGGCCGAGGCGGGCTGGGCTCCATCTTCGTCTGGGCATCTGGGAATGGGGGCCGTGAGCATGACAGCTGCAACTGTGACGGTTACACCAACAGCATCTACACGCTGTCCATCAGCAGCACCACACAGTACGGCAATGTGCCCTGGTACAGCGAGGCCTGCTCCTCCACCCTAGCCACCACCTACAGCAGTGGCAACCAGAATGAGAAGCAGATTGTGAGTGGGGGCTGCTGCTGCTGTCCGCAGGCCAGGGGCTCGGGGTGGGATGCGCCTGCAGCATTTCCTGCCCTGGCACTCCTCCTCGCAGGTGACGACTGACCTCAGACAGAAGTGCACTGAGTTGCACACCGGGACGTCGGCCTCAGCACCCCTGGCCGCTGGCATCATCGCCCTCGCCCTGGAAGCCAAGTAAGGGATGGACGGGCGTGGCCATGTCAGCCCAATGCCAGCAGTGGCACCTGGACGTGGACCTGTCTGGGGCCATGAGGAGCTAACACTGACCTGAGCTCCATGTCTCCCTGTAGCAAGAACCTGACCTGGCGGGACATGCAGCACCTGGTGGTGCAGACCTCGAAGCCAGCTCACCTGAATGCCAATGACTGGGTCACCAATGGCGTTGGCCGCAAAGGTACTGGGGTGCTGGGGTAGGACCAGGCTCTCCCGGTCCCACACGTACCACTGGCCTTGTGGTGCTGAGGCAGAGTGCCCTGGCAGCCCTGTGCGATGAAGGAGGCAGGATGGCCCAGTGAGCCTGCAGAATGGCCAGGCAAACATCCCTCACTGGCTACCCCCAGGAGCGGTGCTGATCCCCTCTTTGTCCACAGTCAGCCACTCGTATGGCTATGGCCTGCTGGATGCCGGGGCCATGGTGAGCCTGGCCAAGAACTGGACTACGGTGGGACCTCAGAGGAAGTGTGTCATTGACATCCTTGCAGAGCCCAGGTATGGGCTGGTGAACCCAGGAGAGAATCACTCAGCATCTGTTCTGCACAGGAGCTTGAGAGCCTTTGGGCCCAGAGCAGGGAGTGGGGAGAAACTCAGGGTCTGAACTGCTGCTGAGACCCTTGGAGCATCCTTCTGCTAGAGCCTGGGGAGAGCTGGGAAAGGCACCTCCAGCCATCCAGCTCTGATGTCACTGATGAGCCTCCCCTCTGTGGGTCTGGGCCAGTGAATGTGGGCAGACTGGGGCGCTGCGGTTGGGGTGCAGCCAGCACGAGTCATCCTGGACAGAGGGGCTTTTCAGGGGGCAGACAGAAGCTCCTTTGACTCCTGCTTAGCTGCTGCTGCCACACTGCAGCATGTGCAGTCTTGTCTGTGGCCAGGGCACTCCCTAGGGGCTCCTGGGTGGGGGGGATCATGTTCCTGTGCATGAAGGGAGCTAGGGCTGGGCCCTGCCCTCACCCCCCTGGGGATCCAGCCCTGTGTGGATACAGCAGGCACGTCCTGTGCTGGCACCAGGGCCGACATCGTGGGGGGAGCAGCCCTGCCCATCCCATCCCTGGCTGTGCCGTGCAGGGTGTGGCTGGCCTGCGGTGTATGAATAAAGGGCCTATTCAGGGCTTGTGTGGAGTGGCGCCGAGGGAGGCAGCACCGGGCAGCACCGTTCCTGCCCCTCGTGCCCGAGAGCTGGGGCACCCCTTCTCCTGTCTGCACCCATCTGGGAATGGGACAGTGGTGGTGCCACTCTGACCCACTGTGGATTTGATTCCTGCTCTAGCTGTCCTGGTGCCCACTTCCGAGGACAGCTGCAGAGCCCCACAGCAAGGAATGGGGACTCTAAAATGTCCCGCTGGTCTGGGACTGGCCTCACACTTGCCTGTCCTCATCAGGGACATTGGGAAGCGTCTGGAGGTACGGCGGAAAGTGGATGCCTGCCTGGGGAAAGCCAACTACATCAGCCGGCTGGAGCACGCGCAGGCCAGGCTGACGCTGTCCTACAACCGGCGGGGGGACCTGGCCATCCACCTGGTCAGCCCCATGGGCACCCGCTCCACCCTCCTGGCTGCCAGGTAGGTGCTGGGCTCTGGGGTGCCCCAGGCTGGCCCCTGGCCTAGGCTGGCACTGGTCAGTTTGGGATGTGTTGACAGCCACATCTTGCCTCTGTTGCTCAGGCCCCACGACTTCTCGGCTGATGGCTTCAATGACTGGGCTTTCATGACAACGCACTCGTGGGATGAGGACCCCTCTGGGGAGTGGGTGCTGGAGATTGAGAACACCAGTGATGCCAAGAACTATGGTAGGGGTGTGCTTCACCATCCACTGCCTCCCTCCAAGTTTAGGATGTGAGCTGTGTAGTCACCCAGCTTCCCAACCCCCCGCTCCTGAGTAACATCTGGAGTAACATCTCGGATGTTCTGGGTGATGTGGCTGGGGAGGGGCTGGACTTGGGCATGGGGGATGCTGCTGCAGCCCCTCTGGGGCAGCGGGAGTCCAGGGAGAAGGAGACCCGATGCCAGCTCACCTGACCCCCTGCCCCTTGGGAGTCCTGTGCAGGGGCATGGCCCCACAAGAGACACTCTCCCAGGTGGTGGGCACAACCCTGCTGTGCCCTGGCAGCCAGGATGGGGGACCAGTGTGAGCCCCCTCCCTGTGCCTGTCATGGGCTCGAGTGGTCTAGTGGGCACCTCTGTGGTCCTCACACTGCATTGTTGCAGGCACGCTTACCAAGTTCACGCTTGTGCTGTATGGGACGGCCACTGACTCCCCCAGCCTCTCCAACCAGCTGGAGAGCAGTGGCTGCAAGACCCTGACCCCCAGCCAGACCTGTGTGGGTGAGTATGGGGACAGCCAGGGGGGAAGTGGGTGCAAGCAGCCCCCAGCCCATGCTGACCCTGCCTGTCCCACAGTCTGTGAGGAGGGGTACTACCTGCACCAGAAGAGCTGCCTGAAGCACTGCCCTCCTGGCTTCGCACCCGGTGTCCAGAGCACGCACTACGACCTGGAGAACAGCGTGGAGCCCATTGCACCCCACCTCTGCCTGCCCTGCCACCCCTCCTGTGCCACCTGTGTGGGACCTGGCCCCAACCAGTGCCTCACCTGTCCTGCACATTCCCACTTCAGCAGCCTGGACCTCTCCTGCTCCCACCAGACACAGAGCAGCCGTGCGTCTCCTGCCCTGGCAGATGGCGAAGGACCAGCTGAGGCCCCCCCTCTGGTCAACTTGCCTGTCCTCATTGCCAGCCTCAGCTGCATCCTCATCGTCATCATCTTTGTCACCGTCTTCTTGGTGCTGCAAGCACGCTCAGGCTTTAGCCTGCGGGGTGTGAAGGTGTATGCCCTGGACAGCGGGATCATCTCCTACAAGGGGCTCCCCTCTGACATCTGGCAGGAGGAGGGTCCCTCTGAGTCGGACGGTGAGGATTATGAGGCCCACAGCGAGAGGACTGCCTTCATCAGAGACCAAAGTGCCCTTTGATGAGCCCTCCTGCCCCTCCCTCCTCCCTGCCCAGCACCGTGGGCCTGGGGCAGGTGAGGCTGAGGGGCCCTGGACTCTGCCCCTGTCCCCTTCCTGCACTGCAGCAGCCTGGGGCTCCCACCCACTGGCACCATCCCTCGGCCCTAGTCTGGGTGGCCAGGCATGGTCCTGCAGGCACCATCCCCAGCACAGCACCGTCCCAGTCTTGCACCATCCCTCCTGGCCCTGTGTCCATCCTGTGCCCTATGCCGGGGTGTTTGGTGGCAGTGGGGCCCAACACTTCCTGGCCCTGCACTGTCAGCAGTGTCTCCCATGCTGGGTACAGGGCTGCTGCTTGGGGTCTTGTGAATTCTCCAGGGTGGGCAGTGTGTGAAATCCCTGGGTTGCCATGGCTCAAGGTGGGCTGGCTGGTGCAGGGGTGACTCTGCCCCCAGAGCTGAGCCCAGCCTGTGTCACAGCATTCCCCTGCCCCTCCCACCCTCGGCCCGTGCAGAGCTGCATCCCAGGCTCAGTTCATTGTGTCCCAGCTCCCTGCCACCTTCCCTGGGCCTGTCTGCTTCCACCCGAGCCCTTCGACAGCAATAATGGCCAGGCCTCAGCTGCTGCTGTCCACTGCCTGCCCATCCCACCGCCGCTGCCTGCAGCGGGTAGGAGCCCTGGCACCGGGGAGCTTCAGGCTGGGCACCGCCTGACCCTGTGCCCATGGCACAGCCCATGGCACAGCCCACAGCCTGGGCAGGGACCCCTCGCACAGTCCCTGCTTTGGGAGGCTGCCTTGGGCCCCTTGTGTTCTGCCCCTGGGGAGGGCTGTAGGTGCTGCTGGCTGGGACTGTCAGGTAGCGCCAGTGCCAGCACTGCCCCAGCTCTGCCTGCGTCCTGCCTGTGCTGGGCAGTGCCCAGCATTCCTGCAGCCCTAGCCCCCCAACGTGCCTTGCTCCCACTTGGTGACAATCTGTTCTGCTCCCCGCTGGAGCCCTTCCCCTTGCTGCCCCTTCCCTGGTGGGCTGGGGGCCAGTGCCACGAGCCCCTTTGCCGTCCGCCGCCGCACACCGGGGCCATAGTGTAGGCTCCCACCTGCGCCAGCCGTGGATGGAGCCACTGGCCAGGGGCCACAGGACTATTTTTCTATAACAACTTTTTGGTGCACAGTAATTTTTTCTTGTAATTTAATCAGCCGGGAGCTGCCTCCTGAGCCTGTTTTTAATTTAATGGATGTGGATATAACGCTAGAGAGACTGAGTTATTAAATGTTCAGAACTATGCAAACCAGCTCCGCTGCCTGTGCTCTGTATGCCGTGGGTGCCCCAGCTGGGGCAGTGGCCTGGCCATGGAGACCGTGGGCCTCCGGGGCACCCAGATCTGCTCTGCAGGTGCGGGAGGTGGGCTGGAGCCCTGCCTGCAGACCTCCCCCCAGGGCCAGGGACTGTCCTTGCCTGGCTGCGAGCAGAAGCCAGTGCTGGGCAGGAGATGCGGTGAGGACGGGCAGGGGATGTCACTCACCCGAGCTGCTTATGGGTTCGTGAACCGAGGGCAGTCAGTTCGGAAACGGGCTGCACGGGGGCGTGCGTGCGTGAGAAAAGCCTGGGGACTTAGCACCCGTTTCCCACAGCACGAGGCTCAGTTCCCTCACCACAGCCTGGGGGCCGGCTGCAGCCCCCGTGTCTAGCACCACCCTGGTGCAGGAATGGCCAGGCCGGACCTGGCACCCACCGGTGCTGTGGCCAAGCTGCAGACACAGCTCACCCCAGCCTCCCCCCACGGGCTCCCGGCCCCCACAGAAGACCCTGTTGGGGCTGCGCTCCTAAGCAGAGGCAGCTCCTCTCTGCGGAGTCACTCGTTCTCGCCGTGCCTGGGGTCGCAGCGGCTTCCTGTGGTCAGGAGCGAGGTCCCCGTGGCGTGCACAGACTGCGGCGCGCTCACTCTGCTCCTCCTCTTCCCACGAGGTGGGGCTGGGGCGGGCAGCAGTCGGGGCTGCCAAAGCGAGCTGCTGCACTGGCGGCCAGACGCGGAGCCGCCCAGCCCTGACCGCCTCGGAGCAGCCTGGCGCGGGCGGGGAGGGGACCCACGCTGCCTGGGCGATGCTGGAGAGATGGGGGTGCTGGGAGAAGCAGTACAGTGGCAGCCCTTCCTTGGAGCTGCTGCAGAATTGGCCACCCCACATTGCTCCTCTACAGGAAGGCGAGTCAGCAAAGCTCCCGGCTGACACGCGTTTTCCCTGACTTCCTCTAAAAGTGGAATCGGCCCGGCAGTGTCCTGCATTGAAGCTCTTCTGGCGCCAGAGCCTCCCTGCCAGTCACAGGAGAGGGCTCAGGTCAAAACACCCAGGCGGTGGCTAGGCTGAGCTGAGTGGAGCTGACCTGGGCTGTGCCACTGGGCAGTGGCAGTGGTGGTGTCAGCTGCCAGGGCTGAGCAGTGCCACCGTGGCACCAGCGAAGCCCTTTGAAGGGGAGGTGCCCAGGGCTGCCACAGAGAATGTGATCCCAGCTGTGTGGTGCAGGCTGGCAGCTGGGGCTGTGGCCCGGCACTCCAAGTGTCCATCAGTGGGTGCTCTGTCCTGCAGCCTTTCACTGTTGCCAGGGCCAGGCTTGGGGATGGCGACAGGGTGGCCAAAGTTCAGTGGGCTACACAGAGTCCTCAGGACCCTTCAGGTCCTGCAGTCTCTTGAATACACAGGGACATGGAGTGGGACTAGGAGCCAGGCTGGACTAGGCATGGCTGAGGGGGCTTTGCTGGGAGGGACTGGCACTGAGTGAGGGCTCCACAGGAGCAGTGGAGCCCTGGGTATACAGGGCTGGGCCTGGTGGTGTCAGGCACTGGTGGGAGGCAGCTGGGAGGTGTGGTGGGGCTGGGAACTGCCTATCTGCAGCAGAACTGCGTGCTGGCGGCAGCTGCTGGTGTGGAGACTGGCAGGGAGGGGAGGAAGCGCAGGAAATCTCGCAATGGCTGTATGGTCAGCACTGGGTTTCCTGTTCCTCCCCAGGAACCAGAGCTGCACCAGGTCCAAACTGCATCAGTCCCGGCCCCAGCAGGACGCCAGCAGCAGCCTCACAACGAAGACCTAGCAAGAAATGTAGGTTGGAAGGACTGTGCCCTGGTGAGGTACTAGGAGAGACAGGGGGACTCCTTTGTAGGGCTGGGGGGGGGGTAGGTCTTGGTGAGGTCAGGGGCTGTGCCAGGAGACATCTTGCGCTGCACAGGGAGGTGCCCCAGCACTCTCCTGCTCCTGCTGCACTCTTGCTTCAAAGCAGGGCACCCAGGGTCTGCCACTAGGATCAGTTTGACTCCCAACTGGAGTCCTGCATGCCGGGGCGTATCCAGGTTCAGCACCTTTCTCTGGGGCTCAGCACCCTCCTCTGCTTCTGCTGGCTTCCCACCAGTGTCCCAGGCCCAGGGAGCTCCCACACTATGGGCATAGGGGTGACAGTGCCAAAGGGCAGGACAGGACTGGAGCTGCCAGAGGAGGGGCTGGTGCCTGCCAGGGGTGGGGGGCACAGCAGTGCTGCCCTTGGGGAGCAGCCCTGTGCATGGCAGAGATGACACAGCTGTGTATAGCTCCACACTTCCTCCTTCCCAGCACCATCCGCAAAGGGCCCAGCTCCCACAGAGCTTGGAGCACTCATCCTGCTGCTTTGAATAGGCTTTGCAAGGCTGTTTGCAGCGGATGGGGAGGGCCATCTCTGCTGCACAGACCAGATGGGGGGTAGGAGGGTGTGAAATGCAAAGGGCCCTGGCCACTGGTGCAGGCAGTGCAGGGCAGCAGTTGTAGCTCAGGCTGTCCTGGTGCTCGGCAGACCTCCCCTGGCTGGACAGCGGTGCCATGGGCTTTGGGCCGGAGCTGTGGTGCCCGCAGGGGCACAGTGCACTGCTGCGGCTGCAGGATGGGGAGCTGCGCCTCCTGGAGCTGATGAAGAAGTGGATGTCACAGCGGGCCAAGAGTGACCGGGAGTATGCAGGGATGCTGCACCACATGTTGTCCCAGCTGGAAAAGCAGGAGGGCGCTTGGCAGCTCCATGGCAACCATGGTGGTCAGATCGAGAAGGTAGGGATGCCTCAGAGTAGGACTGCGCCCTGCAGAGCCCGTGAGGTGCTGGAAGATGCCATCTCCACACCATCCCTGACTCGCTTTCTTGCAGTCCTGGTGGGTGCTGGTGAGCCGGACAGAGACGCTGAGCCAGATCCTGCGGCGGCATGCGGAGGAACTGGCAGCGGGGCCGCTGGCCAAGCTCAGCCTGCTCATCCGCGACAAGCAGCAGCTGCGCAAAGCCTTTGACGAGCAGTGGCAGCAGCTCAGCCAGGAGTATAGCCGGGTACGTTGGAGCCAGCAGGGGAACAAGAGAGTGTGCTGGACCCACTCCCTGACTGTGTCCCTCTCCAGACGACGCAGCAGGAGATGGAGAAGCTGAAGGCGCAGTACCGAAGCCTGGCCCGTGACAGTGCCCAAGCCAAGCGCAAGTACCAGGAGGCCAGCAAAGGTGCCAACCTGGCCCCTGTCCCCTGCGTGCCCTCCCAGCTTCCCTATGGGTCAAGGGTGGCTGGAGCATGACCCGCACTCTGTGGAAACTACAGCCCAGCCTGCAGCGGGTGGGAGTTCTGGGGTTGGGCAGCATAGAGAAGAGCCCAGCCTGACCTCCAGGAAGCCAGTCAGAAGTCTGGGGGCCTTGGGACACCACACTGTGGGTCAGGAGCATCTCTGTGTCACAGTGTGACCACCCCAGGGTTATCCCCCTGTGTGCCCTGGGACCCTCTCCCAGCCCTCACCCTCTGACCCGTTCCTGGGTGCTGGGACAGGTGATGTGCTGGCAGTTGGGGTTTTCCACAGCCTCTCTCCGCAGACAAGGAGCGGGACAAGGCGAAGGAAAAGTACGTGCGCAGCCTCTGGAAGCTCCATGCCCTGCACAATCAGTATGTGCTGGCTGTGCAGGCGGCTGCAGTGCACCACCAGCACCACTACCAGCGGGTGCTGCCCAGCCTGCATCAGTCCCTCTACAATCTGCAGCAGGAGATGGTCCTCATCCTGTAAGAGCCCTGCCTGCCCCGCTGCCCACCCCATGCCCCACTGTCCATCCTGTGCCCTGCAACCAGCCCTGCACCCCACTCCCTACCCCTGGGCACACCCATGGCCCCCCAGAACCAGAACTGCTCCCGCAGAAAGGAGATCCTCAGGGAGTACTGCAGCATCAGCAGCCTGGTACAGGAAGACCTTTTGGCCACGCACCGGGAGATTGCCAGTGCCATCCAGGCCATCGACCCTGCCACTGAGTACAGCAGCTTCATCCAGAGCCACCAGTATGGCTCCACGCAGCCGCAGCCTCTCTGCCGGGTACGGCCCTGCTGCTGTTGGGCGGCAGCGGCCGGCATGGGGCAAGTGGAGGCAGAGCTGTCCTGGATGCCCACAGGTACGAATCTGAGGTCCCACCAACCGTGTCCTTTGATGAGAGCCTGCTGGAGGACACAGAAAACCTGGTGCCAGGGGAGCTGCAGCTGAATGAGCTGACCCTGGAAAGTGTCCAGCACTGGTGAGTGGGACTAGATGTGGGCAGGAGCAGGTGAGGGGCAGGGGCTAGTCCCCCCACTGGCACACATCTCTTGCAGCCTGACATCGGTTGAGGAGGAGTTGGTGGCCGCCACGGAGGCTGTGAATATCAAGGAGCAGCAGATGCAGGAGCTGAAGACAGAGATCCATGATGAGGAGCAGGGCCGGAGCCCCGGGGAGCGGTGAGGTGCAGCAGAGGGGGGTGAGGGGCCAGGGCAGCGGGTGCTGATCACCCTGTCCCCTCCCCAGGGTGCACTTGTTGGGCAGGCGGCAGGGGCTGCATGAGGCGCGGCAGCAGCTCGAGGGCTGCCTCTGTGCCCAGGCCAAGCTGCAGCTGCAGCGGGACGTGCTGGCCAGGAAGCTGGCAGAGTTGGGCACCAGGGACCCCCTGCCTGCCCTGCCTCTGCCCGAGGATCGGCAGTCCGTCTCCTCCACGGTGAGTCAGTCTGGCCTCCTGCGCTCTGGAGGCTGCAGGGGTGGGGTGCACAGCTGATGCGCAGCCCCTGCCTCCTTCCAGGAGCAGGAGCGGAGCGGGGCCAGTGCACTGGAGACCCTCAAGAACCACATCACAGGGATCTTCAGCCCAAAGTACTCGGTGAGTCCCTGGGTGCCACCCTGGTCTCCACCCAGCTGCCTTGCTGAGCTTGTCCTCTCCTTTCTGGCCACACAGCCCCCCTTGTTTCAGCACCTCCAGATTCTGCTCCCACCTGCTCTGGGCACAGCTTCCAGACACTGCTGCTGCCCCACCTCTGGCACAACTCAGGAGTGTGAATGGCTGGGCTCACCTTGTCTCCTTCCAGCTGCCACCCCCCGTGCCCCTAATCCCAGATGTGCAGAAGCCGCTGTGCCAGCAGGTCTGGTACCACGGGGCCATCCCACGTTCAGAGGTACAGGAGCTGCTGACCTGCAGTGGGGACTTCCTGGTGCGGGAGAGCCAGGGCAAACAGGAGTACGTGCTCAGCGTGCTGTGGGATGGGCAGCCCCGGCACTTCATCATCCAGGCTGTCAGTGTGAGTGACCATGAGCAGGGGGCATGGCTGGGGTGGTTTGCAGGGGCACTTTACATGGGCAGTTGGGGGTTCCTGCCCATCACAACCTCTTGGCCTCCCTCCCTGCAGAACATGTTTCGGCTGGAGGGTGACAGCTTCCCCACCATTCCGCTGCTCATCCAGCACCTCCTGCAGAGCCAGCAGCCCATCACTCGCAAGAGTGGCATTGTCCTGGCCAGGGCTGTGCCCAAGGTGATACAGCCAGAGGAGAGGAGGATGGGACCTTCTGCACAGGGGCAGCTCTGCCCGGCCCTTTCTCTTGTTGATGGCTGGGCTGAGAGCCACAGGCATGCTTCTCCAGCTAGACAGGGGAACTTGGACCTGGGGCTCTGCCTGAGAGGGGCCTGCAGGGGTCTGTGGGCCAGGGGCAGCTCACTGGTGTCTGTTTGCTGCAGGACAAATGGGTGCTCAACCACGAGGATGTGCTGCTGGGGGAACGCATTGGTCGGGTGAGATGGGGTGCTGTGGGGTCTGCAGGAGGGCAGGGCTGTCCTCACAGCATCTGCAGGAGGACAAGGGTTGCCTTGGGCCACATAGTGAGCTGAGCCTGCTGCACCTGTGTCTCGGAAGGGTAACTTTGGGGAAGTGTTCAGTGGACGACTGCGTGCTGACAACTCCCCTGTTGCTGTGAAATCCTGCCGGGAAACCCTTCCGCCTGAGCTCAAGGCCAAGTTCCTGCAGGAAGCCAGGTCTGTGTGGCTGTTGGGCTTCTCCTGTCACATCTGTCCACTCTTGGAGCTGTTTGATACTGCTGGGACTGCACCACCCTCGTGCTGAGGGCTGTGTTCCTGGGCTGGCTGGTCAGAGTGCCCTGGGGATGGCAACAGGTGGCTTGTGCCCAGGGCAGCCGGGGCCCCTACACTCACAGTGCCCATCCTTGTTCCCACAGGATTCTCAAGCAGTATAGACACCCGAACATTGTGCGGCTCATCGGTGTCTGCACGCAGAAACAACCCATTTACATTGTCATGGAGCTGGTGCAGGGTGAGTGGCGCCATCCCCGTGGTCCCCATGCACCCACGCGCGGGTGAGACTGTCAGCGGTGCCTGGCACCCACCGCCTCTGCAATCTGGGCACAGGGGGGGACTTCCTGACCTTCCTGCGCAGTGAGGGTCCCCACCTCCGGGTGAAGGAGCTGGTCAAGATGACAGAGAATGCTGCTGCTGGCATGGAGTACCTGGAGAGCAAGCACTGCATCCACAGGTGGGCCCTGGCAGGACGGGGGAGCCCTGGAATCCTAACCCCCCCACCCTGTGCCAGGGGAAGCCCCAGGGACAGCTGGGCACACGGCTGATTGCTTGGGGCTGTCTCAGGGACCTGGCTGCTCGCAACTGCCTGGTGACGGAGAGGAACACCCTGAAGATCAGTGATTTTGGGATGTCACGGGAGGAGGAGGATGGCATCTATGCCTCCACAGGGGGGATGAAGCAAATCCCTGTCAAGTGGACGGCCCCTGAAGCACTCAATTATGGTACAGGATGGAGCTGGGCATGGCCTGGCAGCCCGCAGCTTATCTGGGAGCCAGGAGTCTGGCACTGTCCCACTCCTACACACCTGGTCCTGGGGAGGGAGGCAGAGACCCCGAGCACCTCAGCCCTCAGGAGCATGGGCACAGCTGGATAGTGGTGACATGCGTGTCCCCTGCCAACACCATTTGTCCTGCCCCACGTCCCCAGGCCGATACAGCTCAGAGAGTGATGTCTGGAGCTTTGGGATCCTGCTGTGGGAAGCCTTCAGCCTGGGTGCCGTCCCCTATGCCAACCTCAGCAACCAGCAGACGCGGGAGGCAGTGGAGCATGGTAGGGAACATGGCTGGGGCTGGCACCTGAGAGCCACCATGAGCTGTGGGTCCAGCACTGTGAAGCTGTGCCTGTTGGATGGGCCAGACAGGGTTGTGGGGGGTGAGGGGCCGGTGATCCATGTCCCCATCCATGTTGCCGCAGGTATGCGGCTGGACCCTCCTGAGCAGTGCCCTGAGGAGGTGTACCAGCTGATGCAGCGCTGCTGGGAGTATGACCCCCGCAAGCGGCCCAGCTTCTGCACCATCCACCAGGACCTCATTGCCATCCGCAAGAGGCAGCGGTGACAGGGAGCACCAGGGGCCCTGGATCCATCCCATGGCAGTGCCTGGGGGCACAGCAGAGCCCTGTCTGGGCAGCGGGTACTGCGAGGTGGCCGTGTGGTGCTTGACCCCCAGGGCAGGGGCTCCTGCATACCTCAGGGTGGGACATGGTGCCCGCAGCTCCTGCCCTGCTTCATCTTGTACAATAAACACATGAGCTCTGCAGCTGTGCATCTAGGATCTGCAAGGGGACGTGGACTTGTACTGCACTGGGGATGGCACTGGGAATGGCACTGGAAATGGCACTGTAATGATGCACCAGGACGCGCAGCCAGTGCACCAGCATGGGGTACCAAAAAGAAGTACCAGAATGGGGCACACTTAGATAGGGAAATGGCATGGGGAGTACTGAGACAGAGCACTGGGACAGAGGGCTGGAACAGGACCCTGGGACAGGGTACTGGGATGGGACACCCAGATGGGACACCCGGATGGGGCACACCGGGACAGGGTACCGGGATGAGGCACACCGGGATGGGGCACACCAGGAGGCCACCGGCATCTCGACTGGGCTGCGGGGCTGTGTGGGGCCGTGCGGAGCCATACGGGGCCGTGCCGTGCCGTGCAGCGCTGTGTCGTGCCGTGCGGTGCCGTGCGGCTCCGCGGCGCCTTGCCGAGCTGTGCCGTGCCGTGCGGGGCCGTGCCGAGCCGTGCGGGCTCCGCAGAGCTGTGCCGTGCCGTGCGGTGCCGTGCGGCTCCGCGGCGCCTTGCCGAGCTGTGCCGTGCCGTGCCGTGCCGTGCGGTGCCGCGCGGCCTCCGCAGCGCTGTGCCGTGCCGTGCCGTGCCGTGCCGTGCCGTGCCGTGCCGTGCCGTGCGGTGCCGCGCGGCCTCCGCAGCGCTGTGCCGTGCCGTGCCGTGCCGTGCCGTGCCGCGCCGCGCCGCGCCGCGCCGCGCAGAGCCGCGCAGAGCCGAGCCCCCGCTCGCTGCCGGCTCGGTGCCGCCTCCCGGGCCGGCCCGGCGGGCGGAGCGCGGGCGGGGCCCGGCCTGGCCCATCCCGGCGGGCCCAGCCGGGCGGTGTGAGGGCCTGGCCGGGCTCGGAGCCGCCCGGTGCGGACGGGCTGGCGGCGGCGTCGCCGTCGGTGCCGGCCCGGCCTGTCCCGGTCCTGCCCGGCCCGGGCCGCCGCCGCGGGGCCTCGGCGCGGCGGGCCCGGCGCTGCCCGGCCTGCGCGGCCTCCCCGCCCCGGCCCCATCGGCAGATATAAATACCCGCAAAGGATCAGGCCAAGCAGGACGCGGTGAGGCTCTTGCAGGAGGACGCAGGAGGCCGCGGCGAGGGGCTGCGCTGCCCGAGCTGGCTCCCCCCGCAGCCCCGGCGCAGGTGAGTCCCCGCATCCCTTCGGGATGAAGCTGAAGAAGCAGGTGACAGTGTGTGGAGCTGCCATCTTCTGCGTGGCCGTCTTCTCCCTCTACTTGATGCTGGACCGGGTACAGCATGACCCCACACGACACCAGAGTGGGGGCAACTTCCCCAGGGTGAGTTCCGAGGGTCTGGGATGAGTGAGAGTGGTCCTGGGATGGCAAACGGAGACATTCAGCCAGGAAAATTCATGGGGAGCTAGCCCTGGCCTCTGGGCATTAGGGTACCAGGGCCAGGGCTGGCTCCCCACAGCTGTGGGTGACCTCCTGCCCCTCGCTGTGCCCTCTGTGTCCCCAGAGCCAGATCTCGGTGCTGCAGAACCGGATCGAGCAGCTGGAGCAGCTGCTGGAGGAGAACCATGAGATCATCAGTCACATTAAGGACTCAGTACTGGAGCTGACAGCCCATGCAGAGGGGCAGCCAGCATTGCCCGAACACCCCCTGAATGGCTCCTGGGTGCTCCCCCCTGAGAGTCGCCCAAGTTTCCTCTCTGTGTCCCCGCAAGACTGCCAGTTTGCTCTAGGGGGCAAAGGACAGAGCCCAGACCTGCAGGTGAGGGCCTGGTGGCTCTGCTAGCATGAGGGGTCCATACCTGGGCATCCTGGGCATATCAGGCTCTAGTCTTTCAGGGGTCTCTCAGCACTGTCTCCTACCAACAGATGCTGGCTGTGTACTCCCTGCTGCCGTTTGACAACCAGGATGGCGGTGTCTGGAAGCAGGGCTTCGACATCACCTACGAGCCCAACGAATGGGACACAGAGCCTCTACAGGTGTTTGTGGTGCCACACTCACACAATGACCCAGGTGAGAAGCAGGGATTAGCCCATTTCCCACTACTGTGCAGTGCTGGCAAACCTGGGCCCCGCACAGTGACCCCCACCTGTGCTTCCAGGCTGGATCAAAACTTTCGACAAGTACTACTATGACCAGACGCAGCACATCCTCAACAGCATGGTGCTGAAGATGCAGGAGGACCCACGCCGGCGCTTCATCTGGTCTGAGATCTCCTTTTTTTCCAAGTGGTGGGACAACATCAGTGCCCAGAAGCGGGCTGCTGTGCGCAGGTAGGGCTGCTCACCTGGCCCTATTGCCCACCTAGCTCCCAGGCAGGCTGAGGGCAGAGGGTGTGTGAGCGAATGGCTCTAGGGACTAGAAGGCTGCCATGGGCCCTGCACTGCTTAGTGTGGGGTGCCCTCAAACTGCCAGCAGCCTCCCAGTGCCATCATATGTCAGAGCCACTGCCTTGTGGAGTCAGAGGCTGGGAGACAGATCTTGCCCTGGGCCCCTCCCTGTGCTAATTGGGCTGGGGAACTTGTATACAAGGCCCAGGGCACCCATGGAAGGGTGGGAGACCTGGAGAGCAGGATTGTGTGGTGAGGCAGGATCCCCTTCTCTGCCCCTTGCCCTGAGAGCATTGGAAGACACAGTGGAGGGGGAATGGGCTGTGGGTGGCATTGGGCTGTGGAGGGATGACTCTGCATGGGGACAGCATGACAAGGGGGGAATGGCAGTGGTGGCCGTGGGGGCTGCAGGTAGACTGTAGGTGGCTCAGGGCAGGGGGACTCTGCAATGAACATGTGTCTCATGCAGGGCTCTGGTCACATCTTGGGTGTCCCCCTGACAGGCTGGTGGGCAATGGGCAGCTGGAGATGGTGACAGGCGGCTGGGTGATGCCTGATGAGGCTAATTCCCACTACTTTGCCATGATTGACCAGCTGATTGAGGGGCACCAGTGGCTGGAGAAGAACATTGGTGAGGGCCAGGCAGATGGTGGCTGGGGGCCTGTCTAATGCGCTGCAGGCCCCCAGGTCCTGACAGCACCCTCCTCACGGGAAGTGCTGCTGGCCCAGCATGGGGCTGATGGGTCTCTGTGCCCCCAGGTGTGACGCCGCGGTCGGGCTGGGCCGTAGACCCCTTCGGGTACAGCTCCACCATGCCCTACCTGCTGAAGCGCTCCAACCTGACGGCCATGCTCATCCAGCGCGTGCACTATGCCATCAAGAAGCACTTTGCTGCCACCCAGAACCTGGAGTTCATGTGGAGACAAGCGTGGGGTGAGGGGCTGCTGGGAGGGGACTGCAGAGGGGACTGCACGGTGGGGCAGGTGGCAGCAGAGAATGGCTACCAGCTGCTTTTCTTTGCAGATGAGCCAAGCACTGGTAGGCAATGTCTCTGCCCTGTGGGGCATCCTCAGGGTGACTTTCCACCTGCCCCCAAGTCTAGCAACATATTGGGGGAGGCTGCTGTGTCCTCTAACCTTTGAGATCTGCTCTGTCGAACTACTGACTTTGGGCCCCCCTGCTCAGGGACAGGCAAGGGAGAGCCATTGCTGGTGCTCACATGTCCTTGGTCCCACAGATCCAGACACGAGCACCGACATCTTCTGCCACATGATGCCCTTCTACAGCTATGATGTGCCTCACACCTGTGGCCCGGACCCCAAGATCTGCTGCCAGTTTGACTTCAAGCGCTTGCCTGGAGGCCGGATCAACTGCCCCTGGAAGGTGCCTCCCCGTGCCATCACTGATGCAAACGTGGCAGAGCGGTGAGTGGGGCAGGGGCAGGGGCACACGACTCCCAGCCTTGTGTGGGCTGTCAGGGGCCAGCCTCATGCCCTGGCCCCCGCACAGAGCCCAGCTGCTGCTGGACCAGTACCGCAAGAAGTCCAAGCTGTACCGCAGCAAGGTGCTGCTGGTGCCCCTGGGAGATGACTTCCGCTATGACAAGCCACAGGAGTGGGATGCCCAGTTCCTCAACTACCAGCGCATCTTTGACTTCCTCAACTCTCGGCCTGACCTCCATGTGCAGGTATGTGTGGAGAGCTCTGTGGAGCTGGGGGCAGCAGGAGGCCACAGCAGAGCACAGTTGGAGGGGTGAACAGTCCTGTGAGGGGTGATAAGAGCCCCCACTGCAGGAGCCCTGGCTCAGGACTGCACATGCTGTCTTGCAGGCACAGTTTGGCACGCTCTCTGATTACTTTGATGCCCTGTACAAGAAAGTGGGCATTGTGCCGGGGATGAGGCCACCCGGGTTCCCAGTTCTGACTGGGGATTTCTTCTCCTATGCGGACCGGGAGGATCACTACTGGACAGGATACTACACCTCCCGGCCATTCTACAAGAGCCTGGACCGGGTGCTGGAGGCCCACCTCCGGTGAGGGGCGTGGGGCTGGTCCATGGGGCACAGGAGGTGTGTGAGGGGCACGGGTGAGGGGTGGCCAGGCAGTATGGGATCTGGACAGCCCCCGGTCTGTCCCAACTGCCAACACACAGTGCCAAACCCTCACCCAGTCCCAGGGCAGTGTGTGCCTTTGCCACCCCACTCCCAGGGCAGCCCCCCAGTATTGTGCACCAGGGTAGGGACCCTCAGTGACTCTGTCCTTGTGCAGGGGGGCAGAGATCCTGTACAGCCTGGCACTCGCCCACGCCCGCCATGCCAGTGCAGATGGCAGGTACCCACTCTCTGACTACGCCTTGCTGAGCAACGCCCGCCGCAACCTGGGCCTCTTCCAGCACCACGATGCCATCGCTGGCACTGCCAAGGAGGCTGTGGCCGTGGACTATGGAGTCCGGTGCGTGTGGGGGCCAGGGCGCCCTCAGAGCCTGTCTCAGAGTGGGGCTGGTGGGCTCAGGGCTGGGAGACTGGTTAGGTATGGGGATGCTGTGGGGAGGTTCTCCCTCTCATGGGGGGATGTGGAGGGTGGTGGGGCAGTCCTGAGCAGATGGGGCTGATCGTCCCAGGTGACTCACTTTGCCTCTGCCTAGGCTGCTCCATTCCCTCACCAACCTCAAGCGTGTCATCATCAATGCTGCGCACTACC